ATGAATGTAAATAACACTGAGTCTAGAGTATGTCTCTCAATTATACTGTTAGGGATGCAGAGGAATAGACCAATCATTATCATGTTAGGGCTAATGATGTCCTTGGACGTTAAATGGATATTTCCTATTGGTCGATATTTGTTCACTTGTTAAATATTGTACAAAATGTTGTTTTCTATTTTATAATACGATGTGGTATGCTTGATGGGTATATAAACAGAGTATGTTTGAAATATAACGATTCATATCTCAGAGGTTGTGACTTGTGTTCTGGACTCAACTGGCTGGGCTAGACAGGGAAGCGGGACCAATCAGAGCCCTAGGTCATTCGTACGTGTTTACGTGTAACCGGATCGATCTATAATAAACTGCTTTCTAATATTTCAGTCAAGGACGCAACGATTGGCACGGGGTAAAAATCGACCCCAAGCTTAAAGTCACAACAATTGGCACGGGGTAAAAATCGACCCAAATTTAAAGCTATAAAAAATACATTCATGATTGACAAATGACTTTTAGTTATCTGTACATAATGCATACAGTTATCAAGAACTTTTGATGAACATTCATATGTATTAGTAGTACCACTAAATTCCATCCCTGGATGCTTACTTTCTCATCGGCGTTTTCGGAAATGTGCCAGGTTTCAGCTCAAATTATGTTCTTCAGATTCAATTGAAAACATATTTCTGAACTTTCTTAATTACATTTTAGTCCTTTAACGTTGATATACAGACAGGTCTGTCATACGAATGCCCGAAGCTTGCTCGGCATACGATCGGAGATGGGTGTACAGATTGACTCTTTCAAGCCAGATGTAGTCGTAGTCATAGAAACGTAGTCGGCGCAGTCTATATACAGTATGGAAGTTGGTTCTCAAGGTTTCATGCTAGTAAGAGCCAACAGAACCCAGAAGCGTCAAAGAGGATTGGCTTTATTTATTAGAACCTCTATTCCATTTATCGTTATTTATAACGTATCGCATGAGAGCGGGACTTGAGAACGAATTAGTTGCCGATCGAAATGCAAAGGTAAAGCGCTGATGATAGATTTGGTCTGCCGCAGTTCAAGCTATGAGACAACTGAGGTCTTGACAAACAGTCTCAATACTCGGTTGAAAAGTAGTCGATGTATAATCTTAGGAGGCTCTAATGCATCTACGGTGGGCTGGAAAAATCTGAGAACTGGATTGTCAGAAAATTTCTTCAAACAGGAACTAGTTGATGTGGTTGTGACACGTGCCCTAGTGAAACATGTGATTGAAGCAACTAGGTACGAGCCGGGCTATGAATCACTCTGACTAGATCTTATATTACCTCGACCCTCAGTAAGTGTAGGTTGTCCGGTGAAAAAAATGTTAAGGAATCTATAGGGTGCCCTACTAGAGAAATAGGAAATATTCCAGCACTATGAAAAGATAGCAATGCCTGATCATTATAGAGACACCCTGTCAACTTATACACCACCCATACACTGAACACTACGACCATAAAGAACTCGATGCCTCTGGCCTGCTAAATAAGCTTGATATAGGAAAACTACGGGATCCGGTGAAACAGCCTAGGTCACTAAAGGAATTAGCACATTTCGTTGCGAACCCCTTAAACATTTGTTCCGTAACCCATGGTTGATTACAAAAACGCCACAGTAAGTCTCACCTTCACAACAGGAACGGAATATGAATCTGGGAACGACCGACCTGTTAGCCTAATCAGCGTGGTTGGTAACATTTCAGAAACCATTGTTCGGGAGGAGCTGTTTAAGCATCTTGACAAAAACCTGATTCTTTCTAAAAAGCAGCTTGGTTTAAAATAGATTATTCCTGTCTCACTTACTTATTAGTAGCTTGCGAAACGTGGTGTTCTATTAAAGACCAAAAGTTAAATATAGACCTAGCCTACATTAACTTCAGGAAAGGTTTTGACAAAGGTCCTCACAATCGGCTGTTATATAAATTAAGAAATGTCGGGATTGGAAGAAAACCATTAATGTGGATAGACGACTTTCTAGTTGGACGCCAACAATGAGTACGTATAAACTCGAGGTTACGTAATTAGAAAACTGTGCTTAGCTGGGTGTTTCGGGGCACAATTTTGGAGTCAATGTTGTTCCTCATGTAAGTGAATGATATTACAAGACTCTTATCACCACCAGATATACACTATTATCATGAGATATAAAGAGTGATTTGAAGTGAAGGTGATAGTTCAGAGATTTGAAGTAACCCGGTAAAATTATCCGAATGGTTTGGAATTCGGCAGTTGCCGACAAATGCTTTCGAAACATCATGATGAATTGGGAGTCTTCGCTATCTGAGACTTAAGAACTACTGCAGTGTCGTGTGATATGTGACGAGGGTTTTGGAACCTTATGGTTAACATGGTGAGTTATTTTCCAGGTTGATGATATAATGGTTTCGAATTTATATAGAGAGGTCGTTCGTTCTAAAGTCGAATACTGTATACAGGTGGCTGGCCCTTAACTTAAAAGACACAGTAAGCTGTTGTAAAGGGTTCAAAGAACCGCAAGTAATCCGGTTTCCAGAGTAGTGAAGCTCCCATACGATGATGAATTAGCCTAACTAAACCCATTTCTGTTGTCATATGGAGTGACGAGAGGTGGCTTTATCATATTTTTAAATTACTTGATGATAAATTTTCATTTATATGCCCTCATTTTTCTTGTCTTCTAAGACAGTGAATTTAGGAGGACACTCAAAAGTAGTCCACAAACCCATGAAAGCCTACTTGTTAGCTGACTGTCGACTTTCTCATCGAATTAAGGCACCTAGCCTATTGTCCTTTCGAAACTGAAACTGACATGGTGATTTGTCTCATCAACTGGTGCTCCTCTACAACAGCTTGGATTTTCGGGGTGATGAAAAGACTGCGGTTCCTACCAGTTTTATAATGTAGGAATTTGGACTGATATGAATCGAACTTATAATTGGGTAGAAAATAATAGACTTATTCAGGTATCATTACCGTAATATCTGTAAGAAAACCATATCCAAATCCCGTACCACTTACGAACGACAGTTAGTATATGATAGCCGTACTTGTCTGAAACGATTGTTTTCGTATGTTAAACGGCAAATGAAACGTAGTGATGGTATTCCCCCGTTACTGTTACACGGAAATTCAGAATTACCAGCTGATTCAGATCGAGCAAAAGCTGAGACTTTTTCAGACTATTTTAGCGAAGTCTTCTATACGTTTACTGTAACAAATACTTGTCCCACTCACAACGAGATACCAACCATTGAATCTGTACAGGTGACTGAGGAAACTGTCCTTCCGTTGATAACTAACCTCAAACTTGGTAAGATACCGTGCCCTGACGGGTTACATCCACGGTTGCTGTCATCTCTTGCGGACATTATTTCAAAACCGCTTGCGACACACTTCAACATGTCCCTCTCACTCGCTCAACTCCCTAGAGATTAGAAGGACACTATAGTTAGTCCTATATTTAAGGACGGTCAGCGACAGATAGTATCTAACTACCGGCCTGTCAGGCTAACTAGCATAGTCGTTAAGTTACTTGAAAAGATAATTCGGGTTAGGTTGCTAAGCCAAATAGATTTACACAACCTGTTAGCTCCTGAGCAACACGGATTTCGTAACAAGCGTTCATGCTTGACTAACTTGCTTATTGCGAGGGAGGATTGGACAGCAGCCCTAGATAACGGTCTGTCTATCGATGTAATATTCATAGATTTTAGCAAAGCATTTGACAAGGTTTCAAACGTAGGTCTTATGCAGAAGCTCACGAGCTTCGGAATAATAGGTACTGTACATGAGTGGATAGGAAATTTCTTATGTGACCGCAGACAGAGAGTTAGGGTCAACGGAACGCTATCCGATTGGAAGCCGGTCAAAAGTGGTGTACCCCAAGGCACCATCTTAGGCCCTCTGCTCTTCCTTCTCTACGTTAATGAGTTACCGCTGTTACTTAGGTCGTCGACATTATTGTTTGCAGATGATGTAAAAATCTGGAGAACAATAAAAAGTGCGGCTGATCATGTGGATCTTCAAGCTGACTTAGACGATTTAGTTAGATGGGCTCGAGAGTGGGGCTTAGAAATCAATGCTAAGAAGAGTGTACTAATACACATCGGTCACGGTAATAGTTACCGTTACACTATTGAGAGTAAACCTCTTCCATGCGTTCAAGAGCATAAAGACTTAGGAGTAATATTAAGCCATGATTAAAAAACAACTACGCATTCCAAGGCAGCCGCTGTCAAAGGTTTTCGTGCGTTATGGTCACTTCGCCGAGCGTTCAAATCTTTTGACGAGGAAACGTTTCGAATTTTATATCCCATATATGTTAGACCACATTTAAAGTACTGTATCCAAGCAGCTAGCCCGTGTCTGGTATAGGATACTAACTCCCTTGAGCGTGTCCAACGTGTGGGAACGAAATTAGTGAAGGGTCTTTCTAGACTCCCTTACGATGAGCGTTTAAAACGCCTAAATCTTTTCCCCTTGTCGTGTCTTAGGACACGACGTGACCTTATACTGGCATTTCGTATTTTTAATTATGATTTGGGTGTTAATATGTCTTATCTTTTTGCTCCCTCCAGCACTAATAATCTCCGAGGTCATAGCAAGAAGGTTCATAAACCACGATCTAATAAACTTAAAGTGGGGTCCCGTTTTTCTCATCGAGTAGTCAATGATTGGAACGCCTTACCCGAACAAGTGGTATCAGCCCCATCAGTGAATACTTTCAAGGAAAAGCTGGACCTTCACTGGAAAGCAATGTGTCAGGATTAACACAGGTTCATCAACCTACTATCCTTATTACTGAAGACTGAAGACTGATTACTGAACTGACGAAACCTAATACAGATGATCTGCTAGAATGTCACCTACTGAACATAGACAAACATTCGTAACCGTAGCAGGATGAAATGAAATGAAAGCAAATATACTAATCGAATTAAACGAATGTGTTATAAATATATTGGATATTGGATAGGACATGTACGTTGCACTGGAATAACAAAATAAAGAGCAGTAATTAGATATGTGCGTTACCTTTTCTTGATGGGTTGTTTTTCAACTCTTGCTGGTAGTTCTATGCTAATATGGCAAAGTGCAGTATTTCAGGAGAAAAATTCATTAACTTTGTGTTCAGCCCTTGCATCGGGTTGCTTGTTAGTCCTGATGTTAATGAACTGTGTCTGCGAGATAATCTGACTTTTGAGGAATTATTAAGGCCATTTAGCCAACTGTCTAAAGATGGTTCGTTCCTAATTTTTGCCTCATTATTATTTTTAGTAACGTTTAGAGACAACAACAACGTCATCCATTCTGTGAAAAACTTACAGCTAAAATTTTTTGATGTCAATTCATGTCTTTCGCCCAAACACATAACACAGTCTTGGGTGCGATACTTCGTTAACATTTGCTCTACAGATAATACTGTCAGGTCTCAGAAGTTTTGTGATGGGAGTCGGTCTGTAGTCGTTCCAAGTATGTCTTTTTATTCACAATACTTTAAATAAATTTCTCTGTATGGTCGTAGTGTTTGCTTAGAAGTGCAATAAGCACACCTAGTCACTTGTTTGACACCTAAGCTGTTCATATTATAGTTCATTCGATCTGTTTGATTTGCCTATTCCTACTATATTGAATCAAATACTTCTCTTTTAGGATTCTCTTGTTCCTCTATACGTTTTCAGTCTAATTTCCATTGGCCCACCTGAAACTAAGCAGCATTCATGGGGTGTCAAGTTTCTGAGACAGCTTACGATAAGTGAATCTACTGTTCACAAAAAATTGGGATGTTTTTGTTGTCATACGATGCATTGCTGATCTCTTCTTGATAAGACTTGTCTAAACCTATTTTTGAATGCATAAAATAAAGCAGTCTTGAATTATTTTAGGAACTCGTCTCCAATTATGTCATGTAACCTATCACCATTTTGAAAAACTGTCACATTGTCTTCAAAACTTTAAATCACGATGATTAAAAGTATTTAATATGTCACTGCAAGACAATCTCAACTAAATTATTGCTGACATGAATGAACAATTCTCCGTGGAATTGTCGTTAAGGTCTTGATACCAATGGAGTAATAAACGTTTCATATTTTCCATGGTGTTGAGTGACCGCAACTTGGGACTCTGAAGAGTTGTGCCGTGAACATGCGTCAAGTGAGAGGATGTGATCATTTATGTGGGTTAAAGTAAAGCTATTTATCTTACAGTTTTGTAAGCAAGAGTATTTCATTGATGCTAACATCGCAGATGTAATTTGACGAATGCCGATAGCCTATCTGTCACTAACCTCCTAGGAGTAGAGTATGTGTGGTTGATACTGCTCTATTACAAATTACTAATTAATCTCTTCTGTGCTATCTAGTGTTAATTTTAAATTTTAAATACTTAAACCCTTATATATCAAAACCAGTACTTATAAATTTGCGTCAACTAAAACCAGATTCGTTTTTTTCTACTTAGGCCTATCGAAATATTTGTATGATTCAGATTTCGTCATTTAAGTCTAATACTTATTTAAACACAAACATTGGGACAATAAGGCACCAAATACATATGCGCCACGCACATCCAATTATTGGTGTGAGGGCTGAGATACTTCCCGGGTGCCCAAACCACTCCTCACGCTTATGACCCAGAAGTCCAATCCACAAGGCGATGGAGCGATATATATATATATATATATATATATATATATATATATATATATAGTCGTGGTTTCACGCAGATATTTTTGTACAAATGTGTCCTTACTGTCCAGGTTTATTGGAGATTATTGTGTATCCTCCCAGTCCATGTTCTATTTTTAGAAGATTCAGGTAATGTAATCTAGTCAGAGTATATTAAACAACAGGGAAAGTAACAATAGTACAAGAAACTTGTTGTTTTACTGACCGATTTCGATAGAAATTGATATTTATTGCGGTCTAGATCATTTTTGAAAAGGAATAACTTACGCCTCTTACCCTTTATGGAGGACAGCTCGCTGACCACAAGTTTTCACCTTACTCTGTTCCGTTTTATCTGTTCTAGTTGTTATCCAGTGTTTTCATACTCTTGATATTTACCTCTGACTGCCGGCATATTATGTTCTTGGTCTGCCTCTTTTCTTTCTACCTTGAGGATTTCAAGTAAGGGCTTATGATAAAGTTTGACGATTTGTACAGCGTATACCCTATCTATTTCTAACTTATTTTCCCAATTCCCTCTTCATATGAAATCTGGTTTTCTCTGCCACAGTAGGTTATTGCTGACGCTGTCTGGTTAACGGATCTGTTTATAAATATCTTTGTCTTTTTTGATGATTATTTTAGTGGTTCTCCAAGTCTCAGTTCCGTACAATGGAATTATGCTGACGTTTGTGTTGTAAATTCTGACTTCTGGAATGCGCCGTTTGCTTTGGCAATCCTCACCTTTACATCTTCATACGATCGTCTTCGTTCATTGATGTTGCCCAGCTACGCGAAAGTTCCGACCTCTTCTAGAGCTCCATGAAGTGTGATTAAGTTGTTGTTCTCTGTGTTGTATTTGAGGATCTTGGTTTTTCCATTGCGTATGTTGAGACCTACTGATACAGAGGCTTCTGTCACACTAGTTGTCTTCATCTGCATTTGTTATTGTGTATGGGATGATAGAGCAAGACCATGTGCTAAGTCCAAATCTTTCAGCTTCATCGAAGCTCTCCATCGTACTCGGTGCTTCCGCTAATATGTGGTTCTAATAACCCAGTTAACCTCATGAAGAAAGAGAAAGGCGAAAGTAAGCAACCTTGTCTGACGCCGATCCTAACTTAAAATCTATCTGTGAGCTTCCCTTTATACACGGCTTTGCTGTGTAGTCTGTCGTAAGAATTACATATGTAGGTGACAAACTTTTCATGTACACCATAATGTCGAAGACGGTTCTATGAGGCTCTACTATCCACACTGTCAAATGCTTTCTCATGGTCAAGGAAGTTGATGTATTGGGATGATATCCATCCACTTGATTGTTCAACAATGACCCGTTGTGTTGCGATTTCGTCCGTACATGATCGGTCTTTAAGAATGTCGATTGGTTGAACTCAGTGTTGGCTGTCTACCTAATCCTCCATTCTGTTCTGCAACACCTTGGAAGACTTTGCCGGTTATGGGTGGTATTTTGATGCCTCTGTAGTTTTCACATTTGCTGAAATCCTTCTGCAATATCTTGATGAGGTATCCTTTCCAGTCTGTCGGCACTTGTTCTTCCAATTCTTCCTGAGTAGGACGTGGAGCATCTTTTCAGTTACTTATATATCTGACTTCAATGCTCATCTTTGTATGCTGTTTGATCGGGTTGCTTTGTCATTTATGATTTGTCTGAAGTCTTCCATGGACCTTATGAACATTTTACTGATGCCAGTATAATCAATCTGGTTCTCTGTTATGTGGTCTAGCGAAACCTGTATAGCTTTGTGTATGCGTTTGTGAGGGAATATGATGCCATCTTTAACCATGTTGAAAGGACAGTGATTTACAAATATCCCACTATCTTTGTTTTTTTCCCCAAGTTCATGTTGTTCCATGTTATCTTCATACCCCGTGTTGTCTATTCCAAACTTGACGTTTAGTTCTGCTATTAGCATGGACAGATCCTTACCTGAGTATTTCGCTACGATCGACTGAAACCTCTCATAAAATTGAATTTATTGTTCCCACTGCTGCATCTCGCTAAGAGCATAGTACTAGATCACATTCATTGTGATGCTTTGTTTTGTAGGATGCTCTGATGGGCCTCATGACTTCTGAGGAACCTCGGCTTTCACCATGAGGCATCACAACTCTTCCAAATAAAGATCCTTAAATTCAGGGCACAATTTAGATGGTTAAAATGATTTTTCTATGGTTAGTGTTTTTTGCAAGATTTCTCTAAGAGACAGAGTTACTAACCCCCATGCTCACTACTCATTTATCGGTGCTTAAGACCAGGAGTAACCCTAGAAATGTAATGTATAATTTTTTTTAGTCTTCATGCGGAAGGCAATATGTGCATATTCGTCAGCCAAAACAGTTATCTAATACTCGACATTTTCACTGATTCTTAAAAGGATGTTACTTTCTATAATATCACAGTTGAATTTCACATTTTTAATTTTCGCCACCAAAATATAACTTTCTTCAAATCATTCATTTCGTAAACATATTGGCAATTTTTATTACACAATTTATTTTTTAGCATCTCTTCCATGGTTTGAAGCATGGCGTTATCTGTTCATAACTAATTTACAGCCATTTGAACATGAATTTATCAGTCACAATCTAGCCTGTATATTTGTTTTGACAACTGCACATCCTGATCCGATTCGGGGTTTTACTGAACTAACTCAGAGCCAGTCCAATCAACAACATCATCTTCCAGGAAGTCGTCCGTTTTGGTTTACAGAAAATGTGCTTAAATTTTATGTATTATTACATGATGGTTCGTCGAATATCAAACAAAGCTGGTTAGTCAGTACCTTAATACTTAATTTGTGTCGCCAAGCATTAACAAATCGGAGCACTTATACCGTACTAAGGGGCCTCAAAGTATTAAAGAATTTGGTAGACTTGACTACTAAACTTTTAGTTTATACCATTACATTGGCTTCATAGTTATTTCAAGAAGTATTCATGTGACCGATGTCGTTAGTGATATGAAAAATCCATTCGCATGTACATACGTATAAATATTCTGTGAGTATTAACGATCGTTCACAAGGTCAACTGATGGAATAGGTCATGCAGTTTAATTCTATCAAACGAAGCTTTTAATTTAAATTCGTTGAAGAAATTCAGGCCTTCCGTTCACTCACGTATTAATTGTAGCTAATAAGAACAGAATTTAGCGATTGTCAAGTTTTCATTTGGGAATTGTTTGTTGAATTGAGTCAGTAGTTCTTATGATGCGTAAGAACGAGTGATATGAATTACTGTGTACCTGTTTTCCTACTTGTGGTAAGCCCCTATAAATTAGATAAAACTTGTCCCAAGCACAATCCAACAACCGTAATATGATTAATATAGGTAGAACTTTAAAGAGTGTGTTCAATCTTGAAGCAATTTTTTGTTTTTAGATCAGTATGTGTAACTTTGATCGTTTTGTCGCTCGTGTACATAGGTGTACTACTGTTTAGATTCATTTTACTCTACCTTTGGTAAGTTGCAAGGGCAGTGTTGTTGCCTAGGGAACGTAACAATCATGATAAAAGTAGTGTCATACTTGTATCAACTTTTTTTGTACTTGCCAATCGTTTTTCAACTATTACTGATATAGCAAATGAATTAAAATATTTCCCTCTCTGTGGTATACCAAACGCTTCTGTGATAATACGGTAATAAGTCTAGACTGGGTGGCCGAATTTATACTGTCGCCAGATTGGATACTCGAATGATACACTATGCAGAGACCAGACTATGTTACATCAGATACCCGATTTACAACCAAAATATTGAACCGGAGCAAAACTAGACAATACATAATTCCACACCATTACAACCAGTCACTGTCAGTGAATTTGTAGTAAAAATCAATAAGAGGAAAGGAAACCACATATTTGATAGTCAATAAGCTGTATACCTGTCTATCTACATTCAGTGACCAACTCAGAGCCAAACTACTACGAACATGTCAAGTGACGGATCATGTAGTCGAGGTTATGAGTATGGAGATAAACTCCACGTTTTCAACTCATCTAAGTATATCGTAGTCAGTAATTATGCTTATGTCTTCGTTTGTTTAGTCACTCAGTTGTAGATATTTTGAAATAATTTCTGTTATATAATTAATTGGAGGTATAACTTTTACTGTTGTAATTTTTCTTCCATCATGACTGACTCAATCAGTCAGTCAGCTACAACGTAGGACCAGGCACATATATGCATCGGTCCAAGTTGCCATACCTCATTTACACAAGAAGATGAACACTGGATTCATAAAAGTAGTTAGTTCACTGGTGGTAATATATAAAAGAAAGATTGCATATAAGGATGTAGTACAGGAAGAAGTAATTAGTTGGTAGAAAGCAAGATATAAAGTGATTTTAATCGCTTAGTTTAAGGGAAGACAGAGAGTGTATACACCGACGCCATTGTGATCGATTCTGAGCCATGTGACCAAGACTCTCCAATCATTGGTTAAGATAGTCACGCGGACCCCAACCATGTCGTCTGCATCTACCAACATGGCTCAGACTAGTGACTTCAAATACTGATGCCACGTTTTAGTTTGGCCATCCCTAACTTTCTTCCAACCATCTCCAACACCGGTTAGCATTGCACGTCGTGGTAATCGGTGTTCAGGCATACGTAACACGTGGCCCAACCATCTCAGTCGATGAAGATTCATAACCTCATCAACTGATTTACCATCATTTCCTAATACCTTGAGTCTAACCTAACTATTACTTACCGGGTGATCCCAGCAGACGCCGGCAATATTTCTAAGGCATCTGTGGTCAAATACTAATAGCTTACGACTATCTTCTACTCTTAATGGCAACATTTCGCAGTCGTACAGTAGAACAGAACGAACTGCTGCGCAGTATACTCGTCACTTATTGATAGACGGATATCTCGCCTTCGCCATACGTGACGTAAGTTTGCAAAAGCCAAACGAGCTTTCTGAACAGGTGCAGAGACTTTGTCAGACACCGACCCATTAGGGTTGGTCAGACTTCCAAGATAAGTGAAGTTGTCAACGCTTTCGACTACTTCACTCCCTATCCTTAGTTCAGGTGTTGACACAAGACAGTCCTGAAGCAACAATTTGCATTTAGAGGGAGAGAAGCGCATCCCAAACATTTTGGCATTGTTGTTCAGTGCTACCAAAAGATTCTGCATTTTGCCAGCGTCTTCACCAAACAGGACCATGTCATCTGCGTATTCCAAGTCGATAAGTGGACCTCCTGGAAGGAGACCAATGCCCGAGAATTCAGTCATCATGACTGACTGCGCTGCACTTGACATGTCCGCAACATGATGAAGTGGTATTTTCGTTGTAGAAAACTACATTCCTCATGTAAACCAGCAGAAACTACAGAGAACGAAACACTCCTCTCCATCATGGATTACGATAGTGTAAATATGAATTTTTTGTTTCATTTTATTTGGCTACCAGGTGAAAGGTCAAAATTGCGAACAGGAGTGTAGCTTATCTTCACTCGGTTACGGAAGCACAGCTGCAATAGAATTTATTAGGGTTTGTCTCATGGGAATAAGTTATTTTCGCCTCCATTACAGTACTAAAATAAAATGAAATTTACTACGAAGCAACCATTCTTAGTACCAAGAATATCAATAAGAGTATCCACATACCTTATTGGTCAAGCTAACTTTAGCATTGAGTATTTGGTTGGATCGTTCGTCAACAAGCCCATGTGCTTTACAGAATAATAAGAGCGTTCAATGAATTACATTATCTATTTGGTGTGAAGAAACTACTAGTATCTGGATAATGAAATCCATTATTCAATAACTACTTATAGGTGGTAATATTTAACTGTTGTAAGTATTTAGTTGTTCTAAATTGTTAGTATACTCTAATTGATGTTGTGACATCATTTTTTCCCGTAAAACAAAACAATGAAAACAACTTGTTCAGTGTTGACGAGTTATTCAGCCAAGTGAAAACTACGTTTGGCGCTCTCAATTGTCATTTGTTAACCATCTTCACTTCATCGTCTGGAAGTGAAAATTTAAGTAATAACATTTGCGTACCAAATCACTTATTATTTAACAACCATTATCAAGCTAATGGAATAATCAATCAACCGAACACGCCATCTACTATCGTCCATGCATCAGAAAATGAACCGCATTCCGATCCTTGGCTGCATCATCTGCTACCACATGGCTATAAACCCCAGCTAGATCATAAATTATTTCCACCCAGAGATGCACCGATAAAGTCATGTAATAATCAAATAATAAATGGAAACAACGATCCATTGACAGTTGAGGACTCCAGGGAAGCGTGTGGTCAAATATTTGGTAAGGAAACTGCAATTTTTGTATGATAACCGTAATTTCCCCATAGATTTTTGAATTTTGCTATCGAAGTCCTTGATCAAAGTGTCTATGATTTCTTACTGGTGCTTCATTTGTCATTTTTCCCTTGATATTTTCATCCATCTGATTTCTACATTTCTTGTATTTGATTTCTCACATGTACGAGTTTTAATCCTTTGCGTGTTGCTTTCCTCTTTTGTACATTGCCCTATAAAGTATGGCAACGTGAATTATTACATAGTTTTTCTAGGTCCTATGTTTCAGTTTACATTTCTCCCATGGTTTTAGAGCATCCTAACTTCTCAGATTCGTGAATCATATGGAACCAGCGGTTTTCCGTATCAGTGATAGAGTAAGTTAGAAGAAAGTTGAGACACATCAGTCCATGAAGTAATTGATTGTTGGTCTGTTCCACGTTGGCAGGTTCAGACTACCTACTTGGGGTCTGTGCAGTAGCATGGACTAATGGTTCGAGACATTGAACATATTCTGTGTAATGCACTTAGAATCTGGTATAACTAGGTGCCATATGTAGAATACATTGTACAAAATAAAGAGATAATGTGAAAAAAATGATGATAAAGTTTGTACAATCGAAGAGAGGACAGAAAATAAATGTTCAAAAATTGTTGTGTAATAGAAGTTACTGTTCAATTCTCAATACAACTGAGATGACCTTTGAGTTAGGAGAGTTTAACTTCCTATTTATGTAGACTGCAAAAGAAAACATCAGGTTCGCTACGGGCTTCTCTTCCCTAACCCTTACTGGTGTGACAATCACGATTGTTTATTGGTTGGTCGACACGAAACCCTGAACCTAGGTTTTCTTTACTTATTTATTTTATGAACATATGAGGACAGGTGAGAATAAGTATGCAGCACACAGTTAAAGAAATGAAATTATGAAAAGATAGACAATGAGGAAGAGAAGAGCATGATCAAAGATAAATAAGTAAAAATAAACAAACAAGAATAGTGTATAAGGAGTCACAGTTTAGTTAAAATTTTCTTTTAATTACTTATCTGTAATTATTGAAGCATAACAGCTCCAATTTTCTCAATAAATTGTTGGAATTGGAATTGAAAACGTAGTGAAAACCACCCAAATAAATTTGCTTGAATTGTGCTTTGCAGGAATTAGCAATTGTGGTTTTGACTGTCATTTACAGGGTCTTCATACTTTGTGAATACTTTTTAATTAAAATTGCATTTGTTGGTTGTTTTTGGTTGTGGAATGCAATTTGTTTGTTTCTTTTTTGGACTTATCATGTGGATCTACCTTATTTATCCGTTCTTTTATTCCTCATTGTGACGTGAGCACACTGCTTGATTACCCATATTGTCATTCATTAGACTACTAAATTGTGATGACTGTGCTATATTCTACCATTTTTATCGGGATAAAGCTATCTTAAGACAACATTAAGTTTAAGGATAGTGATTGTTTTGGGATGGCTTCGTGAAGCACAAAGCCTTCAGAGGCTCTAAATGAGCCGAATGTGTACCATCCAATCAACGTGGCATGGCATGATTGGGTAACTACATAACTTTCCTACTTGCAGATTGGCTGGATTGTAATGATGTTATAGCCCATACTAAAAACTATAAATACCCCTGTTTTTCTGTACGTTTTCGATCCTTACCCAATAATCACTTCCTTACGTCTTTTGATTTGCGACAATTTAGTTTCTACATGTTCGAGTACCGATAGTTGTACACTGTATTCTGCTGTAATCGAGAAAATATAACGGGTGGGAGGAATTGGAAATTTACTGAAATCCTTCTGTCTAAACCTTATATAAACCCTGAGATTTTCACTACACCAACTTTTACTTGTCACCTTTGAAATGTTTTTGTTTCCTCCCAATTTTTGTTTTGCTTTACGACAAGGCGAGTGAAGTAATGTGTCCAAAGAATACTAGGCGATCGCAAATATAACAATGGATGTCGGTTCTTATTAAAGTTTAAGTCGACTAGTTTCTCATTTATTTCAATCAAGTGTTTATATTCGTTTGATAAATTGATGACTGTTATTTGTTGTGATTCACTTGGTGTTTATTTCCTGTTTTTAGATCTTGGTAAAACATCATCTCTTGATACATGTTGTTTATCTGCTTCAAGCATTAGCTCCCAGTCCTCGTATACATTTTTACCCAGTCGTTATAGCCAACCACATGGACAACATTTAACACAAGCTGATCGGGATCGTATACACATGTTTGTTTATGATTTCAGTGTACGGGCTCTTCTCCCTTGGGTTGAGAAAACAATGCGTAGTCTAAACGATCAGGTGATTTTGTTCGTATCTTCTACATATTTATATACATAAACATATTATTTAACCGATTCGCATAAAAGATATTTAGTCCTAAGGGTTTGGTTTTGTAAGGAAATGTGTCTTGGCACCATAATTAGAAATTAGAGACCATTGAGTCTTTGTCTTCTCACATAAAGCAGTACGGGATTAAACCTAAGTCTTTTAGACCTCGTGATACAGTTTACTCCATTCTTACGAAAATTCCGCAATACATGATTAACAGTTTCTGTGAATTTCTGACACGACGTAGACAACTTGATTGACATTATCCATCCCAAGGTAAATATTAAAACGGGATTATTATGCTTTTAGACATAAGGAAATATCTGGAAATTGAGTAAATTTACTCATTATTACATTTCTGGTCATATATTAGTATTTTAGTACATTAGTACCTTACAGTAACGGACCTTGTTTATCCATCATAATGGTTTATTGTAGTCAAACTATGGGAATCGCTTGTATATTTTCAGTTTGCTTTCGTAGGACGATTCATCAGAAAACTACAAATTCGAAGACAACTGAAAAACAGTTTTCATATGAAGTTTCGTTAAAAATGATATATTTCTATGGGGCAGCTGAGTTTTCTTAAGCATGATTGGTTTTTTACAGTTAGTCAAGGTAAAGCAGTTTTATATCCTTTTAGCACAACAGGGAATTTTTTTCGAATCAATTCTGACAGTGCTTTGAAGTAGATTCGACCACTTATTATGTTTAAATTGCGGCGAGACTCTAATTTATGGACGACTTTTGAACGAATCTTAAGGGACCTTGAGAAATATTAGCCGATCAACAAACAGTATAGAGTAAAAATATATTATACAGAATCAAGGAAATAAAGTGAATACACTTCTTATACGTGGTTCAAAAACTTGTCAAGGTTAGAAATAGGTTCAGAGGTTCTAAAACCGTAATGCATGCAGTAGAGAAAATCATCCATATTGCTACAGAATAGTCGGCCTCTGGAGCCATGATAGAGTCTCAAATACTCTTTCAGACTCGACCACATAGCTTCAATATTGTTTATATGCACTCCGGTTGTTGAGTACACAACATGCCACTTGTGGATAACAACCCGATGCACATAACCAAGCCTATGTAGGAGTGTGTATGCTCTCCAAACATCGTATATATTGTAGTACCTAGCTGCAGCCAGTGTTACTGGTACTTTTATTATCCAGTTTGCAATAATTTTCATAATTTGCCTTAGTTAGGAATTATATATGGGTTTTTCTATCACGAACTGACATCAGCTATAATGGCAGAAATTTATTTAGCCGAATGGATGAAAGGCTTTCGCGTTAAAATCCGAGATCTATTATCTTATACTTGATTGATTCGTCCACAAATTATAGTCTTGCCGTTTTATTTGTTATAGCCACTCAATTATCACGTTTTGTGCACTATTCCCTGTGAACCGATCGTACGTTAGCATTAAGCACTGAAGTTTGGCGCCGTGACCTTGAAATCCCTAAAATGCTCCTGATTGACTCGTCCATAAATTGGAGTCTCCCCTAAATTGCTGTTTGTTGATGTTTCATCGATTTATTAGTTGTCATTATTTAATTGACTTTCATAATATATATATAAACTATAAATGATGTATAGGTATTTACAATGTGTCCAATCTTAGAACTTAACACAGGTGCGTCATACCAAGCTACCACACTATATCAGCACAGCGAGATGAATTCGATAAGATGGATGTCAAAGAATTTAGTTGTATAATAATGTTATGATGATATAACTGAACATAAAAAACATGGTTTAGAGAGAGGCAATCCAATAACGAATTCGAAGTATGAAGTAATACTGAAACTTAAAAATTAAGTCAAAATAAGTAGTAAATACTTCTAGAATAACACGACCTATTTTGAAGTAATTCACCTTATTTCACATAGTTCTTATCATTTATGAATTAAAGAGAATAATAATAATATGAATTTATCTATTTCTTGAATACTTTTGAGCTGTTACGGCCCAGAAACAATAGTATTATGTATTAAAAATATAAATATTCAACATAACCAGAGATTGGTGGTGGCTAACTGTGGAATTCGGGGTGCACGTTTGTCCTATTTAGGACTCGTCGGCTAGATGTACCTGCATTCTACAGTTGATGTTCACTCTAGTACTAGGTTCGTGTGCCGGAGTGAACATCATCTCCGGGATGTAGGTACATCCAGCTGACAAGGCCTAAATAGGGTGAAACACGCTTCTTGGATTCCACTGGTAGCTACCGTCCATCTCGGCTTAAAATGCATGTGACTTAATGGCAATATCGAGGAAATCTTCATAGAATTTAAATATGAAAAAATAGACTAATTGTTTGCAGTCCTGTACATCAGTGGAAAGATTTAAACAATCAGTGTGTATGAATTAGATTTTCAACTTTATATCAGTATAATCTTGACTAAGGTTGCGATTGACATGTAAATATAGCCTAATAAAAAGTCGATGAGTATAGCGTGATCAGAATTATTCTTAAGGTTGATTGTTTTCAGTTAGCTATCTTAATCCTCTAGAAGTGTGGACTAAGAAGAATATGAAGGTAAATTCTACAAATAGAGGGTAATGTCGTAAGTTATGCAGTACAAAATACGAGAAAGTTGACAAACTGTATAAAGCTTGGAAAAGAAAGAAATTAAAATTAGGGTTATAAGAAAAATGACGTTACAAAATCAATTCACGAAGTTATGACTACAAAGGCAATGCAAGATTAACAACGTTCTCCTTTTGGTTACATCTTTTAAGGCGATCGGTTTTAAGATTCTCCTGCCCATGTTGATTTTTAGATGATAGTTGTAAATTGCATTGATACACACTTTTGAAAAAAACTAACCAGGATAACGATACGTAGTTAGGTTCTGTCCAAAGAATTTTTTATAAGCCTTCCTATACAAAATGATTCGCTTGTTAACATGGTCAATTATAGATGAATCACCAGTTTATGTTATTTTCAATTTTTTATAGCAATAGTTTTATTTACTACTATAAACTTGTCTACTCATTCACATGTACGTTCCAAAAGCACAGTATATTGCAAGAATAGAAAGCAGATTTCTTTTTCACATTTAGTACATTTTATTAAGTTGAGACAGGTTTTGGAAAGTGCAATCGCTCGCCATTTACTTGTTAATGGGGAAAATATTGATTTCTCAGAACTTTACAGAATAATTAGTAACCAAATGACTTCAATTATGCTAAGATTCACCGAAGCCAATTTTCTTTTTTAGGATATTCATACTGTTAACATATAAAGGGACAACTTTATTAAAGATAATTTAATTCTTGTACAATTGTCTTTGTATTATTTGTTTATCTTTAATGATCATTACTATTGTTTCAGGGTTTTAAACAGCTAAAGAATATCTAAGGTATAAAATAAATTCATTTTGTCCTGCCTAGATTATTGTTACTTTCATCTTAGTTTAAGAATTATTGATCGTATTTATCGTGAGTACATCAACCACAAAGTCTACATAGCCAAGCTTAACAGGTGCAGATGTCACTTTGTCTGTTATGTCTATTGTCACGGTCGTTTCGTTTATTTCAAATACATTTATTATCTGTTTCTGTTATAACCCACAATGCCGTCTCGTAGTATTCATCTATATTTTTCCATCTCTTTTATATTCACCATCACCACCACTCATGATCATCGAGTAGACGATTTATCAGTTTATTTCTATGTTGTCTTCTGTTCTCACAGTGTTCCGGGAGCTTCTGAGATCTAGTCTTTATTTGAACTTTTGATCTGAGTTACGGGGGAAATATTAGTGCTGGATGTCATAAACTAATTATAAGTGAATTCTCATGATTTGCTATGTGCTTATGTAGTTGTTTCTGAAATGTGATTTTTCTTTTTCATCTCAAAGTAGAACTTCAAAAGATCTTCCTATTGTGATTTCTCTTCATCCGTTAAAGCACAAACAAACATATCTTATTACTAGAGCTTTGACAGAGTCCAAATATGTACTTTCGGAAAACCAGGAGTCTTTTATCTAACCTAAAAGTGATATGATTTATTTGTGTCCATCATGTATTTATCTTTCTTGATTTTGTACTGTCTTGTTAAATCCAAAGCCACACAACCTATTGTTTGTTACAATTCAATTCGAGAGTACCCTAAAAATTAGCACTACATCTTCAAATACAAGATAACGAAAAGTTTCAGTCAAGTTTTTAGATACATAAGGGGTAAATCGTGCTAGTTCAATATTTTGACTAGGTGAGATAAGGTGAATGATTATACTTGGATCTTGTATTTAGGTTTTGGAGATGCAGTACAAAATTTGAGTCATTTTCATGGGAAAAAATTCTTAACACAATCAATTTGATATCTTCATGCTTACAAAAGTTATTCGAAAATAATGGAAAGAAATGAGGCTTTGATTGATGCGGATCGACATTCTAAATCAGTGAGTAAACAGTTGAGTAAATCAATATCATAAAAACGTAATCAGTTATTCAACTTTAGAAAAGTAGCGTTTGTAAGTTTATTGTTCAGATTCTAAAACAATACAAATGTTCCTTCAGTTGAATGATAAGATTTTTGCTATGTAGCATGAAGCATCTGAATAATCGTGAGGAGCATAAAACTGCCACTCGTTATAAAATTTCACTGAAAAAAGTGACTAGAATTCTAGTTTAGTGTTCATCTTCAAAAAACATTGCGAAAACAAATCATTAACCACAAAACAGCTACGTACTACAATGCCAATATAATATAAGTTTATACTTTGTGTATCAATTCCATTTGTAGATTGCGCATCGAATGCGTCTTTCGCGTTCTTTCTTTAATGCCACTAAGAAATTTTTTACTCAAGCTGTTGGTGGTGGTGGTGGTGGCAGCAACAACACTACAGTTAGTACTTCAAATAACTTAACAACTTCAAGAATATATCCTAATCCATCGCCTGTTGAAACGTCGGCGAACCATATAAGTAATCCGTGTAGCCCAATAAATCCTACTATTGTAAATAATTCGAAGGGAGAATTATCTTCCAATACTATATTGACTCCTCAAAGTGTTTCATATGCAGCCCCAGCCAATCACTCTACAATTGTGTATAGCCAAGATTCACCTGAATCTCAAATGCGTCGTCTAGCTGATTTAGCATTTCTGTTTCAGCAATATGAAGTAGCCTATCAGACGTATAATGTATTAAAACGTGATTTTCAAAATGATTCAGCTTGGTTACATTATGCTGGAGCTCAGGTGATTTGTGTTAATTATTTTTTTCGTCTTTTTATCCTTTTTGTGTTAAAGCAAAATTAATAAACTCGATAAATCTCAGCGTTGTGTAATTTCTTGAAGTATATTCTATCCAAATCCCTTTTAGCTAAGTATCATCAACATTTTACATAGTGTATCATTTATCCCTTGTCCGAAACTTTTGAATAAGACAAATCAACAATATGTTTGACGTGTCTCTGTAATAATCGCTTATTTATAAAGACAATAATAACAAATCGACTGCCTAATTTGATAAAGAATAATCTTCGACCAAATATCTAATCTGATAGAATACTAAAACTTTACCATCGCTATTTACCCCATAATACTGTTTACTTGCTTTCACTCCTATGCGAATTGAGGTAATCACAAGCTTCGACAGGATGTTATGTTGTTAATCGTATTAAACGTTGTTATAAGTGGACGTAAATTATCGTCCAACACTGGGTTCTTGGAGTGATTATAGGACTTTGAAAATGATTCGAGAAAACCCAGAGGTGATACTTACCTTTTCTAGTAACCATGACTTCCCCTGAATTATAATACTCATTGAGCTAAACTGCTCAATTATAGTAAGTAGTGTGGGTTATTTCTGACCTTTTTTCGAAATATATGTTTTACTGAATAAAGTTACGTTTATTCACCTTATTTCAGATCGTTTAGCCGGCTTTGTTAACCTGTAATTGTATTTCTCCCATCTCTCAAAGATACTTCTTTGAAAACTTTGTATACTTAGAATACTTTTTCTTTCAAACGTAGAACTTAAGTCATTTTTGTAAGCGCTCATATTCACGAAAAATAATTCTGTGATTTTTTTATTATTCCCTTTTACTGGGAATTTTGCGTTTTCGATCCCACAACGTTCTCCGGTCGTTTGTGAATAAATTCGTTACGTTTCATTATTCTTCCACGGTAGTACCGTACATAAAGAATTTTCATTTGTTTAAGTTCTTAGAACTTTTGCGTTTAACACATTATAAAAACTGGAAGCTTAGTTAGTGCTAGGATGTTTGTAGTGTATAAAAAAAAGACGATCGGATACATCTGAGCCACTGTGACAAACCTTGAAGCGGAACTCTATGAGTCTTTTGTCACTAAGTCTGATCGTTTCGTGGATTCTAATCAAATAGTTTATTTTCATAAATAGTTGCTTAGTTTGAAATCATGTATTGATATTCAAATTATCACCTAACAAACTCTTACTTCAACCAACGTGCCACTTTTGAGTATGTGAATTATGAACTTGTAAAACATTGTCATATACATTCTCGCTCGTGACAGTTTAGAAATCAAATTAAGTCATTAACTTATGCAACTGCGTCATTACTCGTCTAGTACTGCTATGACATTCCCGTGGTGCTCTGACGATATCCGCTACCTGTTTTCATACTTTTAAATAAGTGAATACGGTTTTCGATCTTTCATAGTTTGTTTATTTCTGTCTGTTTAACCTTCTAGGAAATGTCTGCCTTATCTGTTTACCTTCAAGGTGCGACAAGCCAACGTCAGTATCCATATCATCTCATGGATTCAGCTGTAACTACTTACCTTCAATCTCATTTGTAAGTTTTGATTGACTTCCTCAAATATTTTGATGTATTCCTATCGTAATTTCATAACAGCAAATCAATATGCTAAGTATCCTTTATTTTACAGGGATTTTAAACTACTCATTATGTGAATATTGAAAATTCATTTTGTTTTTGTGAAAATATAAAGAAACTTTATTGAAACTCAATGGTTGGAAGTTGAGTATTGGAATTTTTTCATATAGACATAGGTGTATCACAGAGAAATCTAGACCATGTTATATACTTAAAATAATTTTATTTCGTAGATTAGTTTAAGATTTAGAATCACTGAAAGTGGGAAGATTGGTGTACGTAGTTTCAAACCACTTGTATTCGGTAGCAAATTTTATTACTCCAAAGATTTTTACCTTAGTGGTTGTGGCTATATGGCTCGCAGCAGGAATTATTTTACCACAATAAATATGATTAGTCAGAAAACTCATGGATGGTAATAATGATTATGTGGATTTTACAGTTTACCAATAGTTTATTAGTTTTTGCTTATCACAACCATTTGGCTTCGTGGTTTCAATTTAATCGGCTAAGCTGTCCTTTGAATTTTATGTTACTGATTTGGTCAGTATTATTTGGAGAAAGGCACAAACTTAGTAAGATATTGATATTGCCACTTCAACTCTCGGCAAAGTTAAAAGCGCTTTCAATAGAAGCAAGAGGTTTGGCTTGTTAATTAGTTCTTTTCAAGTGGACATCCATATGATGTATGAACGGTGTGTTTCGCCCTATTTAGGACTCAAGGCAATTAGCACAGAATGCGAATGTTCCGAAAGAGACTTATCAATTACAATACTATAGCTCAATAGAGAGATTTAAACAACTGATATAAATGAATTAATTCCAAGTTAGTTCATTCATCACATATTTGAGTGAATGACGATGTTATCCCATGCTAAAAATCTGGCTATCATATTATCAATGTTCGAATATTTCACGAAAAGTATATTTCTTTTAGGTATTTCGTATATGTATAATTTTGTTATATCTTTGTATATTCAGATCACCAGAACTTGCTTTACGATCAACTCTGTTAAATTTTGAAGCATTATGTAGTCGTGGTCTCTACAATGAAGCTTCTGTGGCATTGATTCGACTAACTTCAGACGTAAGTGGCAATAAATTAAAAATTGAGTAAATAATTATTTCATAAATAATCCATCTGTATTTTTCTGGTCTGTGCTTGATCCAAAAACACCAAACTTTCATGAATAAACAATGTTTTTCCAGTAAACTTTTCCATGAAATACTCTTAGGTGTTGAAATGCTGTTAAATTCTGTGTATCTTATTGTACGTAGGGTCGAGTTGTTAAAATATAAGCATCTAGAGAAGTGAAAAATACTAAAAGAATTGATTTACTGTTGAATATTAGTGCCTTGTGGTGCGTGAATATCATCAGTTAGTTATCTCAACCATCTAATACAATGTTGACTTTAATTTATTAATCGATTTACTTTATAAAAGATATCAAACGTCAACATTTTGCATTCAGTAATTATGATATGAAAGTTCTATTATGAAACATTTCTGATGATCGAAGGTTTTGACATACATCTACCTAAGTCCAATCTATGCTAATCTGATTCTTAAGCGGGGGCGACAAAGGTGATATATGAAATTCATCGTCTGATAACAATGTCACCATTCATCCCTTTTGAAGTGAGATGAGTTCTTATGTCTGTAACTAGTGAGCATCAAATAACTGAATCTGATGTTCAGGCGTTCTTACAAATCTCTTCTACTGTATATGTCTTTGTTTTAAATATATCGTATCTACTAAAATGTAAATAACAAGACATCCCCACAACAACTGCGTCTTGTAGGCAAGGGATTTCTACCAATTAAAACTAACTGACTAGCCCATCATAAATTTATGTGGTTTCGTTGTATTTTTTCAGTAGAATTTCGTTATAATTGATTGATAGATTAATTAAAATTTTGTCCGGGTATACAAATGGGACTCTTGGTTTCCTGCGGCGAATAGTGAAACGGTCGTATTACGTATACGATCGAAATTCATTGACTAACCTACCACACGTCAACTGAATTCAGAGCAAGCGCATGTTATTTCTCTGAGTTTCATCTGTATTATTGTATTATGACGAATGGAGATGACGGGAAAATGTGAATGATAAGTCAGTGCTTCCAGGTTTTCAATGGTGGTCTAACATCAATCGGTTCATGATCTCAATCAAAAACTTAACAATCTTCACAATCCCTAAACTGAAAAAGCAAAATAATTTCATTTTTTATAAGGTGACTGAAGCTTATGTTTAAGGTAGTAATTCTGAAGAGAGAATGTAACACGTTCTTTATAATTTATGTATTGTCATATTTTTTGGTGGTCTGGAATACTACCCAGGCACCCAAACTGAAGCTTTTCACTTTCTTAGAGGGTCATCGTCCTAGCTTCTAACCGAAATGTCTATTCATGAGACACTTGAGGAAATCAGAGGATTCAATCCTATTTTATCCGATTATCAAAATAGGTTCATATGGTGCTCGTTTTCTAGATCCTCCAAATCTATCCTTCTGTATCCTTAACCTCAGTTTAAGTGCCAGATATTTGCTTTCCATGCTTTAATTTTCGAAACAACACTGAAACTGCGTGAAGGAGGTGAGCAGCACTCCTCTGGTATAACGTGTTTGACATAATCGCGAGTCAATCACAATGGCGTCAGTACATTCAATCCTTTTCTTCGTTTAGATCTTGAATTTTAGCATTCCTTAATTCATTTATTTTTGTTCACTCTAACTACATTCTCAATCTTTAGTCTTTCTCGTTGTCATTGCTACTACGTCATTTCAATTTCTTCGCTATTCATCTTGTTGTGCTGATGAGTACAACAACTTGATCTAGCGCGAATTCGCTTCACCATCTACATCGAAAATGACTGACTGAGGTAAATTTATTCATAGGGAGAATTTCGAAGATATGTTTTGTTGATTGTATCTGTTGCTTACCCATTAAAGGGTAAGTACCAAAGAGTTCGTGTTTGCAGAACTTTTCCTTTGCTTTTTGTGCATACATATAATAACTAAATGTAACGGATTATAACATCTTCCATTTTTCATAGTTTACTCCGAATGTGGTCGTTTTCACGTGTACTTATAGTATCATTGTCCTCTTATTTTCTATTCGCCTAACTATTGAGGGATTAGTTTCCTATCTAAAGGCAAACAATATAGCTTTATAAATTATCTGACAATATTGTTTTCTGTATGTTGTGAAATAGAATGTAAGATTTTGTTTTGATATATCTATCTCTTTTTACATTTGTAATGGTCTTAGTAAATTAAGTGGTTTGCTAAAAGTACCATTCTTTTGTTTAAATCAGTACTCTCTCCCAGCTTACAATAAGTTAGGATCGTAATGGTTTAACTGTATGGTCATAGGTAAATATTTTACGTTTTTATGCTCACGTGCATATTAAATCACTGAAAGACAGCAACCATTGTCTGAGTTGTTGTTATTGACGCTTTGTATTACTAAGTTGTACCGTTGTATGGTTAGTTGTCTTTCTTTATTGAACATTCATCCTTTTTTTAATTGTCAGCGCTTTCAGTATTGCTTTGATGTAATTCTATTTTATTTAGGAAGATGATCTTATCAGCGGTCTCCTCATAGAACAAATAGCTCATTGTGTTCTATCACTGAAACGCCCAATGTTAAGAAAGTTTGCATTTCGTATGGCATTAGCAGCACATCGATATGCTCGGGCCAAACAGGTTATATATGATATTTCTGTTATGATGGTATTGTACAAATTAATTTTTTTCTTATATTACGCGGTCTCCGTAACTTCTGATTAACTGGTTAAATCTTATGACTAACACGTGATGTTCCGTATTTGGTTGCCAGCTACAGTGAGGAGTTGAAATCTTTCTTTTCATTTAAGCTACATAACTGAAAAAATACCATAGAACACTATCGATTTTGCTAAAAGGTTAATTATTCCGTTTTATTCAGTTATGACTTACATTCATTTTCCCATTCCAATAATCATCATCGTTACCAGAAATATTATTCCCTTTACGGCACTTTACAGTAAGTATGAAGCTAACCAATGCAAATATTTAGTTCACTAGTTTTTATTTACTTTTAATTGTTCGTCATTTGGTCACTAGTTTGATCAACACTTAGCTTACTACATTTCGTATAGGCGGATTTGGTATGTATAAGTTCATTGACTGTCCAAATGCATTACTCCTGTTACCTCTCGTGAAGCAGTATAGACCACCCAGAGTAGGCTGTTGTTAATGATGTCTAGTCAACGGACACTGAGTATCTTGCGTTTACAATTACTTTTAAATATTTGTATTTTTTGGTGATGGTTGTGGTAGTTCTTTAAGTTTCAGCTCCGTACAGTAGAACTGTCTTGATGTTCGTATTGAAGACTCTCGCTTTGACATTGGTTGACAGTTTTTTTGAGTTCCATATATTCTTCAACTGTAGGAATATTGTCCTTGCTTCGCCAATCCTTGCATTTTCGTCTACATCAGATCCTCCTTGTCCATCGATGACCCTGTCCAGATACGTGGAGGTTTCCACCTGTTTCTGAGCTTCCCCATAAAGTGTGACTGAGTTGGTGTTCTTCGTGTTGCGTTTGAGGATCTTTGTTTTCCCCTTATGTATGTTGAAACCTACTGATGCAGAGGCTGCTGCTACACTAGTTGTCTTTGTCTTCATTTGTTCGTGTGTATGAGATAGAAGTGGAATTTCATGTGCGAACTCCAAATCGTTCAGTTGCATCCAAGCTATCCATTGTATTCCTTGCTTCCTCTGAATTTTAGAGGTATTTATAATCCTGTCAACCCCCAGAAAGCTAAAAGGAGAGAGTAAGCAACTGGTCCGCACTAGGAATGCGTCTGTCAGTTCTCGTCCATGCTGGACGCTGTACTGTATTCCGTCATATGAATTCCGAATTTTAATGATTTTCTCAGCCACTCATACCATAGTTTCTATAAAGGTCCCGTAATGTCATCCTATCCACACTATCAGACGCTTTCTCATAATCAAGGGAGTTGACGCATACTGACGAATTCCATTCAGTTGGTTGCTCGACAATAATGCGTAGTGTCGCTATTCAATCTGTGCACAACAGATCATTACGGCATCTGGCCTGTTGATATCGAAGCTGAGCGTCTACTAAATCTACTAAGTCAGTTCAACAACACGTTTTTGAAAACCTTTCCTGGTACCGATAGTAGTGCGATGCCCCTATAGTTTTCACATTTTCTCGGATTTCCTTCCTTTGGTATCTTGATGAGTTATCCTTCTTCCCAGTCCGTCGCACTTGTTCTTCCTCCCAAATCTTTGTGAACAGAACATGGGGCATCTTTGCAGTTGCTTTTATGTGTGACCAGTGCTGGTATATTGTTAGGTCCTGCTGCCTTCCCACTCTTGATTTGTCTGATGACCATCCTGATATCTTCAAACTTTGGTGGAGTGACAGCTATAGGAAGGTCTGTGTATGCTGCTTCGATGTCCAATGGATTAAATGGAGCTGGTCTATTCAAGAGTTCTTCAAAGTACTCTGCCCATCTGTTCCTCTGTTCTTGAATTTCAGTGGTTGGTTTGCCTTCTTTATCCTTGACCGGTCCCTATGGTTTACTATATTTCCCTACTAGTTTCTTCGTTGTGTCATATATTTGTTTCATAATTCTTTCTCTTGAAGCTTCTTCCACTGTCGTTGCTAGGTCTTCTGCGTATATCTTCTGAATAGATCCTTTGCTGTCCAGCATAAGTCCAATGGATTTCACTTATTCCGAACACCGCCATGTTGTATCTCCTCATTTCCGTAATTATTTGATTGGTCGTCCCGGTCTCCCACATTATGTGGACATTCGATATAACTTTGAAAATTGTTGCTCTGATTGTTAGAAGGGGCATCTGCCTCGTGTCTTCCGAAGAATCTCGACTTTCATCACGAGGGGTCATCATTGTTCTGAATGAATATTATTCGACTCCCGTGACAGAGTTTAAATGGTTTAATTTGTTTATTCTGGTTAGCTTTTTTTAGCAAGGTTGTTCTCTACGGGATTTGGTTGCTGATCCAATGCATAATCCTCCTCCTTTACCCGGGTTTGGAACCGGCAGCAACCCTTGAAAATCTAAAGGACAAGTTGTCCAAATCACTATTAAATAAAAATTCATGTAAGCTACTTTGTCTGAAGCCCCTCTGTGGCTACCGCCGGTCCTAACCCCCGGATAAAGGAGGAGGGTTGGGCATGGGGTCGGCAACCCCATCTCGTAGAATACTAACACGCTAAAAAACGCTAACCAGAACAAATAATTCAAGTAAGTAATCGCGTTGTGAAATATATGAAACTTATCATAGTAATCCATTGATATTTCAAAAATTGTTTTTCTCCAACTTTCCCCCACACCAAAATTTTGAATTATTTAGCCGCTTTTGGCAATACGAAGTTACAAATCAGCTATGCCAATTGTTATGGGTCATGGATGGAGTTTATTAGAGGTACATTTATAGTATATGCTTTTATTTATGTCCTGTATTTTGTCTTATCTTTTAAAACTGGTAAAATTATTTTCCGATGATAGAGGAATAAGATTCTCGATTTATTATATTATGTAAGCTGCATAGTTTAATCATGATCATCCAGCTTAGAGGAAACACAGGCACCTTCAAAAAACTTATTTTCATAACTTTCAGTCGTTTTTTTTCATGAGCAGGAACAAGTTAATTATCTTTATAGATGATTTTTCACTTTCAATTTACATCTCTTTTCAAACGTGTTGTTCAGTATACATATATAAATTCCAACACAAGATGTTTTAATTGACAGAAAAACGCAGAAACTCATTAAGTTCCTTTACTGTCGAAGGGTCCTTGGAATTTTTTAATAAACGGAATACACCCATTATGACATTAAATAAGAAAGAAAGATTAGTTCAGCGAAGAGTTCTCTTTTCGGCGAATTCATTTTCAAAGCTGTACAATCGCAAATATATATACTTATTTTTACAGGGTGATAATAATACTGATAATAAACTTCTGTTATACATGGTGACAGTGAGGTTAAATAAACAAAGGTATTAGAAAAAAATTTTTTTAAAAACAAGGAAAGTTTGATAGTTAATGGCTTAGATATTCATCGGGTAAGAGTAGCTCAGCATGATAAAATAACATAAAATGTTGAAACAGAGATGAAATGTAATCGGAATGATCGTTGAATTTACCTGCTCTTGTGGAGCTAGGTATATAGGTCGTTCGATGCGTACTTTATCCAAAAGAATTCAAGAACATTGTCCGGCGTGGCTAAGAAGAGGAGGCAGCGGCTCAATAAGAAGTTCTATAATCGAACACCTTGTGAACACAGGTCACTCAATCAAGACAGACTCTGCGTTCAAAGTCATCTACAAGGTAAGTAGAAGCCTTCCTAAGACAATTAGACTACATCTTCTTTGCATTGCCGAGGCAATAGCCATACATTTTGAAAAACCAGAATTATGTGTACAAAAGAGACTGGTACAACCTCTTCTTTTACCATGGTCTTAATGTATTAAAATTTTTCTCTTTCTCATTACTCTTGTTCTTTTACAGCCACCTGCTTCACCCTCCATCTTCCCTTCAAATCTTGTACCCCCAACCGGTTTGTTTTTAATTCAACGGTCATTCCGATCACATTTCATCTCTGTTTCAACATTTTATGTTATTTTATCATGCTGAGCTACTCTTACCCGATGAATATCTAAGCCATTAACTATCAAACTTTCCTTGTTTTTAAAAAAATTTTTTCTAATACCTTTGTTTATTTAACCTCACTGTCACCATGTATATCACAAGTTTATTATCAGTATTATTATCACCCTGTAAAAATAAGTATATATATTTGCGATTGTACAGCTTTGAAAATGAATTCGCCGAAAAGAGAACTCTTCGCTGAACTAATCTTTCTTTCTTATTTAATGTTTTAATTGACGACTAGTAATCATTACAATCCTTCATGTTTGTCATGTTGTTATTAACATCATTGTAATATTCAAAATTGTGTAAACTTGCTCTAATTCAGTGATTCAAGGCGTTACTATCTCTTTATTTGAAACTGGATTAACTATTTCGATTAAAAAGCAAATTATAATTACCGTCAATTTTATCAATTCTGTCAGTCTAAGAATAATTCACTGACCCACTGTTAATAATCTTTAAAATAAGATCAAAAATCATATCAAGACGTCTGAGCAATTGATTTACATACTGACGACAGAACAATAATATAGATCATCTATGTATAGTCTCGCCATTAGCTGGTTGTGATGATCTCCGTGTTTAATCTATCTTATTTGTTTTATTTATACCAACCCCTTTTATCAGGATCATATAAATTTCAATGTCGGTAAACAAGCTTATCTTACTGGAGATTTAAATACATCTTGTAAAGCTTTAGCAGAAACATTGAATTCATCTAGTAGACAGTCTGCAGAACGTCAATTGATATTTGTTAAAGAATATTTATCAACATTAACAGTAAGTAGATTATGTTGTACTTTTTTTCAATTTCATTTTACTCTTGAATATTGGATACAAATTTATTGACAATTCATTATCAAGTACATTTTGTTAAAATATTCACGGCAAACAATTGAAAACATCCTATTCATTTTATTCTATTTTAATAAAACATAAACAGTATTGTACTGTGTTAATCTGTATTTCCTATTAATGAGTTAATATTAACCTTGTTCATCTTATCAGTATACATTGAGTTGATTTAGGTATGGTTCTCAGATTTCAGTAAGGTGTTCTGTAATTTCACGTTTAAATACATTCGATTGCCCCAATTCGTGTTCTCGTTCACTACATTGTAAATGATTCTTTTGACAGGGATATGATTGATCAGTAAGTTGACTAATGTGGGAATAGTATATATAGTCACTAAGAACTTCTCTTTAATCCTCTCCATTATAATAGATATAAAACAATCGTTTTCTATATGCATCATTTCATCTTGAGAACACATGTTGGTGTTATCATTAGTCGATGCTTCTTAAATACAGAATCGAGAAAGTATACTTAATTTACTTCATATATAAATCTTTTGTGAATGGTTTTTTAACAAATGTCATCATCCACTATACTCCTTGAATAACATCTTCAAACCCTAGTGTTTTAGATTACTGCTTATACTCTTACTACCTTTACCACTACGGGATTCGAATCGACAACTGCATCTCTGTGCTAATATGATATGGCAACTCGAAATGATGTACGTACCTACGAAGTTCTACGTTGTAACTGACTGACTGACATCTTCCATTAACACGTACTGAGAATAATAATATCGTTTCAATAAAATGAATTATTGAATAAGATTTTTTGTCGGCTGATGTGTACAACTTTAAGGATATACTCAAATGTTTTCGTTTGTAAATCAAACAAATCATCACTTTATGAATGATTTGATTGTCTAACAGACAATATTTTGAAGGTTTATATGAAAGATTCTGTTCTTTGTGAGTATTTGTTGTTTCCATTATTTGGTGTTTCCAGTCTAAATATGGAAAAAAATATGAACGTATAAAAACAATGAAATTTTGGAAATTTAATATGTGAATTATGAAATGTCTTCATTAGATTACGGGCAATTCATTTTCTCTAGTGTTATTTAAGTTATTAAACTGTTTCACTTTGTATTAGGTCTGAGAAACACACATTGAATTATTCACTGCTACATTGTTCAAGTTCTTAATTAGGCGAAACAATATCCAGATTCAATAAACTTGACATGATTAACGTTTAGTCAATGTGTAAGCATTTGTTACGTAAGAAATATTTTGAAATATAAAATTATTCAGTAGTTCTCATCTTCTCTACTCTTCTGTAATTGACTGGACATTTACCACTTTTTGTTTTCTTTTAAGATTTATTTATTTATTCATTTGAACACATAGATATTGATACAAGGGGGCACTAAGTATTTATGCGTCACACAAATCTCACTTGATATGTGTGAGAGCTGTGATACTGACCGGGTGCCCAAACCGAAGCAGCTAGTTTTCTTACGGGGCCACAGACGGAACTCTCGGCCATACCAGGGCATTTGAGGTGATAGAACATCAATATTGATATCCAATAAAGTAAACACTTCGAATTGATCTTTAGTCACTACGATATGGAGAGATGATTTAATAAATCAATGATATATAAACACGAAGTTCAACGAGGGGATTTCTTACCAACGAATTTATTATCAACCTGTACAATCGTATATAAATGAAAATTCTTATCTAGTACTTATCTAGTATTATAATTTTCTATTATGTCATCTTGGTTACGCGTCTTCACATTAGTACTTTAACAAAAAATTCATATATATATACACTTCAACAGCTTGATAATAAATTCATTGAAAAGAAATTCCTTCGCTGAACTTCGTGTTTTTAATTTTAGTTGTTTAAATGGGAATTATCTGTCAAATCATTGATTTCCCTTATATTTCTAGTGACTATGTTATCTCCTGTTGAGTTTTAACAATCATGGGGTTATCAAAAGAAAGCACCCAGATGCCCTGGTACGGCCGATAGTGTGAGGACCAGCCCTCCCTCTCGAAATGTTCTCACACGGCCACTCGTATATAGCCTCTGTCAGGAAAGTCCTACTCAATCCCTTCTCCTGACATTACTGTTGTTTACGAAATTGAGGGTACGAAAAGCGAATGTCCGGTGCTTTAACCGGATTCCAAACCAATCGTGTACATGGGCTCCATTATCCTGAAGGAATGAGTGGAGTATGAACCTATTGTTGGTCACCGGCTACCATGGGACTGCATCTCCTTACGACTCTCCACTGCCTTGTGGATCAGACCTTCAGGTCGAAGGTTCCGTCTGTGGCCCCGTAAGAAAACTAGCTGCTTCGGTTTGGGCACCCGGTCAGTATCACAGCTCTCACACATATCAAAGGAGATTTGTGTAGCGCATATGTATTTGGTGCCTCCTTGTACCAATATCTATGTGTTCAAATAAAATAATATAATGAAATCATTATTTGTGCTTTCAATGTACTGCTTATCGGTTTATATTTTTATCGTAATTATATCAGAATTACATATTCTACTTGTTTGTTTTGTTTTTGTTGAAAAAAATTATTATTTCTTTCCAGAATTTATTATCTACTAGATGTGATAAAGAGCAAACTTTACCAGAATTCCCTTTACCAATTATTGATCTTCATAATTTTAAAATCATCATTGGTAAACCATCGCAACAATATCAACAACAAGCTGGTAAATAAAATAACTGTTTGTTTGTATATTTAATATAATTAACATTCAATTGACCAATCTTATGGTTTGTATTTGAATTTAGTACTAATTGTAGTTCATCTTAGTCGTTATCGATAACGCTGTGTTCTTGAATCTTTTCAAAATTACATTTACTATGATGATGTTAATTGTTCTGTTCTCTTAGTTATTATTTTTCCAGTTTCCATAGAGAATTCTCTTATTCTTTTGTTCTTCTAATTTCAATCTTCGAAAGTATTGCAAATTTAATCAATACTTCTGTAACTTAATGTTCAGAAACTTTGATATAGAACATATACACTTTAATTTTGTTCCTAGTACAGTATTGTTTCGTATTGAAACTGTTCCGAAATTAGAAATAATCATTACACTATTCTCAATGAACATTTCGTTGTTGAATTCTTCAACAATTAAAAGTTTGAGTTTCTTTTTATTAAAAGAAATTTGAAGTGTTTGTTTGAACTAGAATGTGCTTTCATCTATTTGTCTGTCGGTCTATTGAAGATTTCAATTAATATTATTTTTTTTTAATACTAAATTATTGACTCTATTTCTCCAAACAATTTTATATACCTTCATATTTTTCAGGATTTGTCCTGTTCTTTAAATGAATTCATTACATGCCCAAATCCCTTTTCTAATTATCTATAAAAACTATTAAATCTATTTCATTTTATCTAAAGGTTTTGTTTCATGTCTGTTTAATGTGATAATAGCTCATTCATGATTAGTGTGCTATGATTTATTGGGAATCTGTATATGGGATTTGATAATGTCAAATTTCTGTTCCGTTTTATCCTTCAAAAGTCATTTGTCATCTGCAAGTTCTCTCAGATCTAGTTTTACTGCATCTTGTTTGTTTTTTTTTCGATGATATTCGCTATTTGCAGAATTTGATTATATCTGCTCTGTGTGTTCGTGTGTAAAGTTGCTCAGATTAACTTAGTGGTTAAGTGTCTTTTGACAATTTCGATCGGTTATTTCTTGAATATCTAACGATGCAAAATCGAATATTGTCAATGATAAATTCAGGTAATTTATTCTCAATCAATGGGTCGTATCCCAGCCTTGATTTATTTATAAGAAATTTGTACAGTTAATAAGTAATTGAACTAATCTCCAACCTAAATTGATAGCTCATGGCGTATTTCACAAATCGAGACCTGATTGTTGTCAGTAAAGTCATGAAAAGTTCTTTAAATCAGTATCTAATATCAAATTATTCACAATTATCTGAAATTAATTTCTTAGATTTACTTGGAACAAAATTTTTAACATATTACCCCTTCAATTTGTAGTTATAACCTTCATTCACTAGGTATGATACACTAATTATAATGATAAAAATACAAGTATATTAACAATAATAATCTTTGACTATTATAGATAATTGTAATCAAGCAAATTTACATTCCGGTAAGATATCTAGCTTTTTTGTGTTTCTGTGTTTTTACCCTATTCGTTTAATACTCAACTGAATTTATTCACAATGCACTTATGCTTCACTCCTAAAGACCAAATGTGTGTTATTTTATGTTTTGTTTTATTGTTTGCACGGGATTTGTGTGAACGGTTCAGAAATTCCATTTGTTTGTTTTATCATTTTTAATTCTGAGAATATTTTTTTTTAATACTAACAGAGTCATTACACTGTATTATTGCTTGATAAACGTTTCAATTACTATTTCACAAAAATCATTATCAGTGCGCTCAGATCAATAGTGATTTGTTGAATTACTTTAACGGGATACAATTTGATTAAAATATACCGATCAATCTTATGATTTTGTTCTGATTGATCCGCTCAAATCTTTATCATTGATTTGATTTGATTTTGTTGTGATTCATGTACGACATATTCTATGTCGTTTTATATAAAAATGTATGCTCCACTAATTTTTACTTTATATGCAACATGTTACACCATGTAAGTTTTCCCGCCTGAACATATAATTACTGTAGTGTATAACTACTGTTTTCAAAATTTCACTGTATTGAATGAAGATTTCATTTAGTCTTAGTTTTTTTATTCATTTCAAGTAATAACTAAAGACAAAGATACTAGAGAAGCTTTAGTAAAGTACTTATTCTAAGATAATTCATACCCCCCCGTATTACCTAATTTTTAAAATAAATTTTATTCACACATTTCCACCACCTGATCCTCTTAAATCATCTTAACTTTCCAAACCCTATTTAATTATTATTACGTAATCTACCTTATCATTATTTAATTCCATTAATCTCTACAATTATAACATAATTTATGAACTTCACTAAATTATTACACCACCCACCCTGGATTAACCCCCCTCTTTTGACCTCTGACCTGTTTCTAGCATATATATATATATAGTTATTATTGTAATCCAGTTATTTACACTCATTTATGTCAATTGTTTCACACTATCTCCATGTAAAAATTCTATCACAATTTTGGTTTGTAAGCATCTGACGAGAAACCTTCTTGCTCTATTTTAAATTCATAAAGGGAAACAATAATTTTAGCCAGTCGCAATTTCTGCTCTACACGAAATTATATGGTTTTTTGATGCTTCTTCAAATCTCCTAAATGAAAATCTATCATCTAATATACAGTGGGGATTATTAAACGATGTATTCAGTTGCTCATTGTAGCGTATGTTTGTAAGTAAAAATAAATATGACTAGTAATGACATAAATCAATAATGAAGCAACGAGTACAGTGAGTACATCGTTTATATTATCATTCATTGTAAGTCATACTATGTATTTTCAGCCAAGCATTATTTCCCATTATTCGTACTTTTACAGTATAGTAATCTATATCTTCCTAATCAACACTGACTAATGATCAACAATTTTATTTTCTGCTGATGAGTCCTAGTCATTGCTGATTTATTTTAAAATCAACCTAGTTACACTTCATTTATTATTGTACAACTAACTGGTAGAAGGTGACATGCCTTAAATTAATACAGAATTTTTTAATCTTTCCCAATAACTATTTTGTGGTCATACGATTAAAAGCCTGATCAGTATAATCTTCTTGTCATAGATTATTTTGACAGTTGAGAACATATAAACCTTCATTCCAAAAAACGTATAAATAAACATTCTAACTATCTTTCATCTATTTCTCCATAGCTATTTGAGTGGCTAGTGAGTGAAGTTTTTACATAATATTCCAATGCGATAGAACTTCACTAATGTCTATTTCTATTTTTATGAAAATATTATTACTTCGTTTCCATCTTATTCTTTAAAGATCTATTCGTTGAAGCTCGAGGTGTACAGTTTTCGGATACTGAAGATGATGAAATAGTGAATGAAGATATTGGTGACGAATTAACACCTTCATCATTGTCACAAGTCATCGAGTGTGAGAATATCGATCCATTCAATAATATAGAATTTCAAAAACTCACTAAACACTATCATAATTGGATGGAGGCCACAGACGTTAGCAGTAGCAGCAGTGAAGAAAGTTTGGTAGACGGTCATCATGTTGATACTTGTTACAGAAACGGTGATTGTTATCCTCATCATATGAATGACAGTAATGATGAATCTAGTTATCGTGTTACTCATAAAAAAAGTATATCATCTCAAAGTATGATTTGTCAACAACTAGAGTATATTCTTTTCCAAACAACATTACCAACCGATGAGTCTAAGAATTCGCATTACTTCAAACGTGATAAAATTATGTACACACCTCGTTCAAAGTATAAACGAATGCCTACATTTCCTCTTGGTGGTAAGTTAGTGAGTGTATCATAGTAATTCCTGGTCGATTATACCTACTGTTTTCAGAATTTCTGTATACTCACTATCAAAATCATTTCACTAATATTGTTGATTTAACCTTTAATGTATGCATAGTAGACTGAAACTATCAAATAAACAAATCCTTCGCAGTGTTTAACTTTAAATTTCAGCTTGATAGTTATGATGCATTACGTTTTTGTATTTGTTCAACAGTTCTGGTATACATTACTTTCAAAAACATTTGAAAAGGTACCGTCTGACACATTCTAACGAAATAATGCTCAAATAATATGATTGCTTACTCGCCGCAGAATGTTGCTTATAGTGTGAACTGAGCGTAAAATCTGGTGGCCATCTGGAAAGTTGGGCTTGAAAATCGCTAATATGATTTAAGTAGCGCTAAAGAGAAACTTCAAGTAAAGCATTTGTTTTCGATGTATAAAACCAAATGTCCCTCAAGTCAATCAAAAGTGCGTTAATGCTCTTCTGAGGTTACCTTCAAATGTATTTACGAATTTACGTGTACTTGTAAAAGCAAGTAAAGAATCGTATGTGCAATGTTTTCCGAACATATTCCTCGTTAGTTGTGTCTGAAAGAAAATAAATTGTTTATAAGTGCAATCACTAGACTTTTAATGAGTAATTGATATAACGTTGATATCAAGAAATTTTTCAAAATAATTTACAAGCAACTGACATTACTTATACTCTGTTTCATAGAGGCCTTTACTATTAAACACTTTCGACCTGATATTTATATACTGAAAGAAAATATGATAAACCTCATTCATTTGCATTGTAAGATAGTTATATTATTTCAATGTTTGTCAATTACATTGCCTCTTTACCTTATAATTTAAAGTATTTTTTTGTCAACAAACTTCCTTGTTTATCGTTCGTTTGTTAAAAATCTGTCTTTTATTCTTTGTTTCTTTTGTTATTAATTACAATTTCATCGTCATTTCTCTTCACTTTCATAATTGATTTCATCTTTAATTTATGAAATACTAATCAACTTCGTGGATTGGTTGAAGTTAGACATTAACACCGTTGGATGCCGGCTCAGTGGTCTAATGGTTAAGTGCTCGCGCGCGAAGCCAGTAGGTCCTGGGTTCGAGCCCCGGGTGGTGCGGGGTCGTGGGTGCGCACTGCTGAGGAGTCCCATACTAGGACGAAACGGCCGTCCAGTGCTTCCAGGTTTTCAATGGTGGTCTAGCTTCAACTGACTCATGAGTTCAATCTGTGAAAATTTCTAAAAATCTCCACAAAACACATTCCGATATTAATTATTATTATTGAATTCATTAGTCGATTTTTAAACTAGACCACTATTGCAAACCTAGTAGCACTGAACGTTTGTTTTGTTCTAGTATGCGACTTCTCAGCAGTGTGCATCTATGAACTATTGTGCTAAGTATTTTGTTTCGAACCGAAATTCATTTATTATGGTATAGAATAAAAAACTTTTTCCTCAGCCGTAAGTATCATTATCAAGGTTTGACCTGATAATTTTGAATAAATTGAGCATTGGGTAGATTGTTATAAATAAAATTAAACTTCTTCTGCGAATAAATAACCAAATTAAAATTAATAGTACAAAGCGAACAACACAAGAATATTATGTGCGATCAATCAAAAAAAGGTGTGATTGACTTGTTCAAACATGTTTTTTGATTGATCGCACATAATATTCTTGTGTTGTTCGCTTTGTACTATTGAAACTTGGATTAAATTTGATTTGGTATTTTATTCTCTGAAGAAGTGACTTGCACTAAGTCACGAAACATCAGAAAACCTAATTTTTCTTCCAATTATTGAGATATCTACAAATATATTAATTTATTTTTCATCAGCCATTTAAAAATGATAAGAAGCCTTAAAATACATTGAATTCATATTTATTCTGTAATATTCGTTCTCATTTTATTTAAATTTTATCAAGGTATCAGTTTGTATGAATTTCCACAGTAATCATGATTTTTAATTTTTAATTGTAGAACTTGATGAGGTAGACATTGTCATTTTTTATGATACTCTAGTTATCACGTAATTTATTCGCCAATCATAATACGACTTATTCGCCCTTGTACAGTATTAAACCCATGACGTTCAACCGGTATAAGCAGCCTAGCGTCCTTATTGATGTTTTGTTCGCTAAGCCCGTCCAGTTGACTCCAGAACACCATTAACAGCTCCTACTATGCGAATCATCTATTACAAACATACTTGGTTTATTTACCAGCTGAACAGATCTCATCGTACCATAAATTAGGAAGTAACATTCATACACAAATAAGCCAAAAAGTAGCTGTGAATGTGGGAGACAGTAATTAATAAACTGAGTATAACATAGGGACAGTAAATCGTACAATAATAATCTATAGGTGAAAACGAAGCTTATAATAAGAGGAATATAGATATACATAATCTAATTACTGAATAGTTATAGAATAAAAATATATAGATAATATTAGTCCATTATCAGGTCTCAGAAGTTACTCGTAATTTAATCCTCACTAGGATGTAACAGACATCAAATACGGCCGTCCGGTCTAATAACTCATTACTCTTAAGTATTAATTTGCCATCTTTAGTCAAAGCCCACATCTGTTTACAACAGCTTACAAACATTTTCCGTAAAAAAAAAATACTGAATGACAGATATTCTATGAACAGGAAATAAATATGATGATGTAATAGAAAGATTATAATACTGGAATATTAATAATAACAAAAGATTGAGTGTGTGCAAACAGAAAGCCTTGTAAAATTAGAAAGTTGGCAACGGATTATAATGTAAATAAATTAAATGGTTAAGATGTTTTCCAGATAATAATTAAAGATAATAGAGATGTAAAATGAAATGACATGATATGAGGAACAATTATGAATAAAATCATAAGGATATGAGACATATGTAAGGAGAGTGGGATATTTGCATATATGAGATGTAATAATAATGTTAATAATAATAATAATAATAGATTAAGATCAAGTTAACGAAGTGTTTCTGATATTCCTTCATTTCATTTTCACCCCTTTATTAACTTCTAATTATTGTAAGCACAACATTGAAAAATTTCATACACATAGTTCCCTTTATCATTTTGAACTGAAAGGAGAGCATATCTTAGATTCTTTGAACATGTTCCAAAAAGTCTTAGAACAAGGGAAAGAAAGACTCTGAACAGTGCAATCACCAAACATCTCCTTGATACAGGACATCAGGTGATTAGTAATCAGCCAAACTCCAGTGTTCTGAAGTTTGCTGAAACCATTGCTATCAGGCGTCAAAAACCTGTCCTGTGTATTCAAAAGGAGACGGTGGTTAATCTTTCCTTGCCCTGGTGACAAATATTCCTTCACTGCACCTTATAAAAAAAAATTTTTTCTTTTTTCTTTTGAATTTATTACATTATTGACTCTATTTTATTTTTTCAACTATCTTTCAAATTAATAATCTTTCAACTGAACTCTAATCACAATAGTCCTATCAATGTTTATTCATTATGTAATCGATTGTTTCTAACCCACTTTTGAACGGTTGTCACAATGAATGTTGTAGAATATTCCTTCACATTAGGTATATATTTACAATATTCAGTAAGTAATTTAAGCCCATTATGTAATTATGATTTTTAAATATCACAGGTTGTAAGCAGCTGACGAGAACCTACGAAATAAAATGAATTCATGCTATTCTGCTAAAATCTTTGTTCTTGCTCTTTTCAAAAACATTGAAATCATCTTACTTCATTCACATTATAATCCGTTGCTAATTTATTAATTTTACAAAGCTTTCTATTTGTACACACTCAATCTTTTGTTATTCTTATTCGAATGATGTAATCTAGTATTATAATCATTTTATTACATCATATAGTCATGGAACCAGTACTTTAACAAAAATATTCTATGAATGATTTATATTCCCATTTCTTATTTCTCCTAATTTTCTATTTTATGTATTCTCATTATTTGTTTCTTGATTCTTACATAACTATTAGTTCTTTTTACATGTTCAACATAGCAACTAATTGATTTTTCGAATATATAATTTGATTACAATTAGTCTCTTTCTCCCAATTACTCAATATTATTTTGTAATTAATGCGTCATTGTATAATTATTACGTAAATTAACTACCTGATGAGTATTGTTTCAATGTTTTAAATCATACATATAGGTATATGTTGGTCTAGAGCCATGATGAAAAACTAATTATCAGAAGGGGTTAGTGGAGATTTTAGAAATTTCAATAGTTGAAATCATGAGTTAATTGAATCTAGACCACCATGGAAAAACTGGAAGCACTAAGCTGCCGTTTCGTATTATTGGGGGACTCCTCAGCATTGTGCATCCACGATCCCGCCCCTGCGAGATTCGAACCCGGGACCTATCAGTCTCATACTAGGATGAAACGGCCGTCCAATGCTTCCAGGTTTTTTATGGTGGTCTGGTTTTAATTGATTCACGATTTCAACTTTTGAGAAACTAATTGAAAAGAAATTTTTTCTCTGGGTTCTTTTTGTTATAATCAGACATGTAAATTTTAGACTGACAAACTACTTTATGACTACATTGGATGAAACTCATGCATCAAGTTGAAACCTTGTTCATGGTATTCTACCCATTTACTATGCTTACCAATATAGGGTGCATTGTGTAATTTATATTCACTAGAATATTAATCTGTACAAAGTTTGAATAACTTGATCAGCATTATCCACTTGTAATTTATGGGTTATTCACAATCAAGTTCTGTACTGGAAAGATTTACAGTTTTCAATTTGAGTACCTCTAAGGTTCGAAATGTAAAGATCATTCTTTTTTAGTCTGTTCTTTTATTTACCATTTCATTTTTAGTTTGCCTTCATATTGAATCATTAGTATTTGTTATTGATGACATGAATGAAATTCCCTTTTTTTGTTTTTTTTATATGATTACATGTATCTGTTTATCATTCATAAGTATGAACCACATTTAATAGTTACCTTTTTTGTTAATCATGTTGATTTTATGCTGTCAAATAAACAACATACATATTTATTTTCTTGTTCGTTTACCTTAATTTCAGAACATTTAACTGTACGAATAACACTCATTAATCCTATGCGTATTCCATTAGTTTTCACTAATGTTCATTTATTATGGATATTTAAGTTGACAAATTCCATCACACAGTCATCATCTTGTACAGTGAATACAATTGATCCAAATATAATAAATAATTCATCTTCTCACTATCATTTATGTAATAATGTCAATAATGATCAAGTAATTAATATAACAAATGAAATTACAACTCATTCCAATTATTCTTATCCTCATCATCAACAAGAAAGACAACATGAAATGATCAATCAATTTGTTTCTGGTGAAACTATAAGTGAATTTATTATGTTACCGGGAGAACGAAAAAATGTAAATTTCATTATATTCTCTGTCATAAGTTTTAATATATCATGTTCATTTCTTAATTTTAATCAGTTATCAATATTGTTTTGACCCCTTATCATTGATTGTATCTTATGGAACAACAATCTATTAAGCGACCAATTACACATGTAATTATTCAGCAATACATTTACACTAATGGTTATGTTGTGTAAGTCTTTTTTGTGATCAATTTTCTCAAGATTCATAAGTTATCAACTATCAGGAAATTTCAGTCATTGTGTGTCATTGACTGGTTATTCGGTATTTATGAAGATATCGTCAAAGTTTCATGTCTAGGACTGTGAACAATTTTTGATGTTTAAATGCGTAGTTTACTGACTGACTCACTGAGTGTTAAGATGAGTTAGATACAATAGGTAAGAATTTATTATAGAGTCATTATAGGTCTAGTACTCAGCAATAATTCATGGTAGTTTATTTTCTTCTTTTGATGGACTATGTATAACTCTTTTAAAGAGATTAAGTCGATATGTCACGAATATTAACAATATAATTCGTGAAGAAATTTTCATGTTAGTAGTTCACTTTCAGAATAACTCAATGACATTATGAATCATTATTTACATCTTATATCAGTGTTATTCATGTTTCGTTATTCTCCTTTCTCAACTATTTTCTTTCATAATTTCTAGCTTCAACTTAGTATAATCGCTAAACAATTGGGTCAGATAACTATAACTGGCCTAGGATTTGAATGGAGCTATCTATCACCTCATCAAAATAGTGTTGAAAATCACATTAACACTAATCATTATGTTATTAATTCACCATCTATTATTGAATCTGCGCCAAACTTATTTTTATCTACCACAACATCAAAATCATTCAACAACAATCTGTATATTGATGGTAAAAATTCATCAGTTACGGATTCAATGTGTACTAATCTCCCACCTCATATTACTACCAATAGTGACAGTGTTCCAACTTCTATTAGTGAACGTAATTCTGTAAAAGGCAAAATTCTATTCAATCATAAAACGTATAACAGTGTAAATGATAATTCCATGATACGGCTACCGTTGGATTGGTCAATTACGCATCCAGTTCCTTCTTTAAGAGTAAGTAGGGATTCTTTTAACAAGTTATGCTTCTCAGTAATCTATATATATATCGTCAACGAATTTCGGTTATCGTATCTTTCTTTCTGTTCTTGTCTTACTCTCCATTTAACATCATAAACTCTGAAGCTAAAACTGTCACAACGTTCAAATCCAAAGCACTGTGTCAATCATTACGCGACTTTTAGAAGGTCAAATAACGTTATTTAATTAGACAAGCTTTCAATTTGTTTTCATTTGTGAATACCTCAAGAATCGACTTCATTGGGAATAAGCTTAGCATTTTAAAAAATTACAAACTAATGCCTTATCTTACTTCATCGAGTTTTAAAGTTCGCTAGTTGACATTTCATACCCACTTAGCTATCCTTCTTTATGTTTAAGCTAGTCTTAGCTCTTATTTGTGATCATTAATTCATGATTCTTGTTTGATCTCAAACTGTAAAAGATGTGGCTAGAACCCCATTTCTGCAAAAGATCTTTCCCACTGTTTGTGATTCATAAATCAGTTTCCACTGTGTACATAAATTTCAATATGTCCGCTGAAAGTGAGCTGTGATTGGTTTATGATTGCAGGTCGATTTATTTATACGAAATGTAACCTATCGTGCTTGTCATAGTTTACCTTGCTTCTGGCAAATGTTGTGTTTTTATTAGGTCTTCGTACTAATGTTGTTAGAAGGCAATCACGTTTTCAGGTAATTCGTTCTAAGCGAGTAAAAAACGTTCTGGAGCTTGACATTGGTAGACTCACAGGGTTCTAAAACATATGGAAACTGATACGCATCGATAAGACGTTCGTTTATCTCACCTCTGATAAATCCTTTTAATTGCTGTCCAACCTGTACTGAGTAACAGTTAACACCGAATATAGTCGTGAAGTAATTTCTTTCTGTTTTTGAAAAATAACCATATTTTCGTATTTCCTGTGCTACTTACAATTTACTGCTATTTTCTGTTGACTCATTTTTCCATCTATCACTTTACTTTAATAAAATAGCTCTACATTAATACTATTTGAGTTATTTGGTTACTCGTAGATACATCCAAGTTTCGTTAGCTACTTTTCTTTAGGGGAATAGATCGTAGGTTAATAACTATTTGTATCGAACTTCAGGTCGTATTGAATAATTAACAAGAGTCAAGGTTTCAAATTATTTCGTCTGCTTCACAATCTGCTATGTCACATGTTATTTATATTTTCATATGGCTGATAAATTTGTTAACTATCTTAGAGACATAGTTGTTGGTGTTTCGAATATTGTTTTCCTTGTGTTTATTTTATGAGTTAAGATGAAAGAAGAATTCATTGAGTGTTTTTATCTTGAATCTTTTGTTCGTAACGTTCGCTGTGGAGTGTTTATTGGCTTATTTCGAAATATACTAGAATGTCATCTTAAATTGGTTATCTGGTTAATTGTACAATAGAACCAAATGCATAGATCACGATTTCTTTTAAATTTTAACAAATAAAAATGTTTCCCAATATATCATTGATTCGTATTTTTCTTTGATTGAATTAGTTGGTTTCTGTATTTTCATCCTGTTCTTTTGTTATGGACGACATATTTATAGGTATTTTTCAGCTCATTCCCAAGCCAACTCTATGAAGGTCAGATATGTTCAGTTCAAATTTCACTAACTAATAGCGGGTTAATACCACTGACTAATTTGCGTATCGCATCAAATTGTCCAGGTTTATTTGCGTTTGGTTCAATTCCATATGATCTGTCACCAAATAAACATATTCAATATCTTTCAATTCAGGTAGGTTCTGGTATTTACGAACGTTTGTTTACTTTTATTGTGTATACTTTATACACACAACAGTCAAAACTTTCTGTGTTCTTGTTGGTGGATATTCTAGCAGTATTTTGAATTACTGACGTGGTGATCAGCATGATGGATATTTTAATTATACTGATATGTTTCTGTTCACACAAATTACAATTTTTGCTTGTTGATCCTGAAATCCATATTCACCTTTAAAATGATTATGCTCGTCTGGGTTGTCTGAGATCAAACAAGTGGACCAATCTTTGATTTTTGGTGAACATCCAAACAGTTGCATAAAGTCATAAGTGCTGTTGAACAAGAAACTGCTAAGGCTAGTCGAAAAGGCATGGTGATTTTCGAAAAGATTTGAAGTGATGGTGAGACTAATTTATGGACGACCTTTGAGCGACACTAAACTGACCTTGAGAGTGCCCATCTAATAACTGGGACGAGATGAGGGTTATAAACCTATGTGAGGAATTAGAATTATGTTTTACAGTTGATGATTAAGGTTAGGAATTTGATTTAGGGTTTTCATCACGAACTGACATCAGCTGTAATGCCAAAACTCTATTTATTCAAATGGATGAGTGAGTATCGCGCCAAAATCAGGGACATGTTATTTTATACCTGATTGGTTTGTCCATAAGTTGTAGTCTCGCCGAAATGATTATTGATCAAATAATCCAGATAATTGCAGATTTATTGAAACAGTATTTGAAAATATAATACTTTATGAGTTAAATTATTTTAGAGATTGTTAAATGTTATCGAGATCGCAAACCGATCTAACTTTGGTTCATGATCCCAATAATAAGCTTTCTCTAGCTTACAGTAGTGGGTTTTTGTAAAGCGCAATTCCAGACTTCATTTTATTCTTTAGTCCACACTGTACTTGATATTTCTGAAGGTTGGATACTAGGTACGAATCTCAGTGGACAAATATCTTCGTTCTGAACTTTTGTATCACAGAATTCAATGTATAACTATTGTAAGTTATGATTCGTTGAATAATACTGTTAAGGTGATTAAATTTAATTTTGAGTGATAGATGAATGCAATGATAGCTTCTCATGATATTGAACTATTGACACAATCACAACTCACCCCCCTTACTCGATTGAATGGGTAATGAAGACAAGACTATTAACCGGAAAATAGAAACACATTATAATATAATTCAAGATTGTATCGATAAACCCTCATTCCTAACTTTCAGTCCAATAAACTATTTGTTGAAATATAATTGAATTTACTGGTTTCACTCAAAAGTCTTAGTTCTCTCAAAGTTCGATAAGCTCTTTCTTTTGAAAACTGTAACAGTGAAACTGTAGTAGCTTACCCAAATAGTTAGTCACTTTTATTGAATTTTGATGCACCGAATTCAAGACTATTTGATAGTGTATCATATTTAATAACGTTAATGCATTCGTTTGTCTATGAGTAAACCAGGGAAGCAGTCATAATAATAGCAATAACAGTTAATAACAAGGTATTGCTTTCAGCATTTACAGGTTTGTGCAGTGGTGACTCAAATTTACTATTTGAAAAAAATATCACCGTTTTTATGAAATCATGTTTAGACAAGAATGATTTTGTTTGAGCAGGAATTGACAAAACTGCATCTTCTTTTTTTTAAAAAAAACTTTTCAGCCATTAGAGCCATGGATTGATGTTCCTTTTAGTCAGTCTTCTTTAAACAACAGTTACTGTACTGGTAAACAACCTTCTATACTAATGCCAGGTACAACTATTACACAGAAATTATGGTTACGTGGTCCATATTTAACATATCCATATTCTCGTAGAATGCATCATAACCCGAAATCACATCGTTATCCTCAGCTCATTTCAGCTTTACCATCATCATCATTATCTAATCAAAGTAGCTATGGTAGTAACACTTCCGGTGTTGTAACTTATGGTGGTCCTCCTACTGTTACTACTACAGTTCCTGTAACTTCTACTATAAACACCAATACTGGTCTTTTACATCATATACAGCAGAAAACTGTGCATATTGTTTTTCAATATGAATCTATGAACACTTTAAGAAGTGACCAAAGGCAAAAACCATTTTCTGGGTAAATTTCTATTCATTTGAATGATATCACATTGTCTTATTTACTTTTTCATTAACAGTGTTCCTATTTGAGATTTATTATAGATAAAATGTTAAACAGAAATCTTGTCATTAATTCATATTGTGATCTGTTTAAACAACATGAAATTTTCACTGATAACTCAAAGTAAAAAAAAAAAAAAGAAAATTTAATTGTAAATTTGCAAAATTATGTAAAAGCTTGAAAGTGAACAGTGTTGCTAAGTATTTAAGTTTAAGATGACATCACTAAAGTTCCATTTTTTTTTCAAAACACAATTCTTGTACACTACAGAGCATAATGAAGATTTATTTAGAGTGCCAGATGTACTATTAATCTCATAGACAGTGGGATAAAGTTTAAATTTATAGTTTTAAGGTATCATAACAATTTAATGATAAAACTTTCAATTTTCAGTAAATTTTCCACTTCTATCAGTTTGCTGTGTTTAGTTTCTTTTTTTAGAAGTTCAATGTACTTCAACCTGAAAACATCCTTCGCTTCTTAATTGTATAAAAATCATTGAACATGTTTATGATGAAAATTGAAAAGAAGTTGAATATCTAGTTTCTTTTCGATGAATTTCTAAGTGGTATACTGGATGTTAATGAAACGTTGTGTAGATCAATAATGTCTGTGATTGTAGGTATCAATACTAAATTTGGATTTGATAGTTTCCAATCAATTGACTAGTGGGTAGAAAGTTCATAATAAATTTATTTTTTGCTATATCCCAATGAATAGAAAAAACTATATTTCTGATGTTTCGTAACTTAATATAAGCCACTTCTTCAAAGGGAATAAATAACAATTCATGTCCATGTGTTGATCAACTTCATGTATGAAATATTTTACATTTCTAGAACTGTATAATTCGGTGTAGTTATAATTGACTGAAAAACATATTCACACAATATATATATATAGACTTACAAGCAGTAGTTTATTATGTGTTCATATAGATTCTCATTATATTGCACATTTCTACACTTTTTGTCAAGTTGTCGTTATGTTCGCCATCGTTCTGAACTTGAACTGAAACCATCATTGCATTTTGAAGCTGTTGCAAATTGTTTAAATATAACCGGCATCAATGATTTGCTGATTAGTGTACAAATTAAAAATGTTGTTAATTCAACAGTAAGTTAGTTTTATTTTTATCAATTATTGTAATTAAAAAAGACGAATGAATAGCTTATCATAATTAGATGCTAATATTATTATTCTGTTTATGAGTACAATGTTTCATTTCGACTTTAGTTTAGGATATATGTAGTAGATGTGAATACATCTCAGTGTATATTATGCTCATCTGTGCAAACTCTAATTAATTTCAGAAGGGGTTTTGTGGATATTATGGTAATTTTTTGATAGTTAAGATCATGAGTCAATTGAAGCTAGACCACTATGGAAAACCTGGAAGCACTGGAAGGCCGTTTCGCCTTGCTGTGAGACTCCTTAACAATGTGCATCCACGATCCAAAGCCAGGACCTATCGGTCTCGCACGCGAACGCTTAACCCCTAGACCACTGGGTCGGCAGGCATTCAACGGTGTCGAACATCAACTAATCCAAGAAATTGAGTGACACATCCACCATTTTCATCAGTGAGTTATCTCACAACAGACCTGGTTGAACTCCACCGGTCTCGTCTCAATTGACTCATGATTTCAACTATTGAAATTACTAAAATCTTCACGAAACGCCTTCTGATAAAACTAAATAGTGGGATTACAATTGTATTGATAAATCATTCAATTTTCAATATCAAAACAATTTAATAAACCTGAACTCCTTATTCCATTTTATCTATCACTTATTATTTGAATAACAGCAGTTACATTGAACGGTTCTTAATCAATTGTCTTATCTGAATATATTAAACAATTAACTAGAACACAAACATTCATTCCTTCATTTTTATTTTGTTTATTTATCTTTATTTTATACATGCTTTAACATATACTTGATTCATATCATATATGAAAATTGTAGTGTTTTCACCGATCAGAGATAATATATAGTTGATGAAATTTCTTCTCATACTACTTATGACTACATACCACATGTCTCTTATACCTACTTTAAACATTGTCAACATTGATTGGATGACTTATTCAAGTGTACAGTTAACTAGAGAATCATGTATCTATTTATATTCGATAATTTTGATGTTTGATGATATTTCCTTGAAAAAAAAAGCTTGAACCAGATTGTCAGATAAGAAACATTGAATTTACTTCAAATTTATTCGTTAACATTTTATACAACTCCATTCATTCTCTTTAATGTGTCACATCAACTTGGCACCCATGTACTGTGAAATTGTATGATTCTATTTGATAAGAATTTTTATTTTATTTATTAGGTTCCTATAAATTTTCAAATTATGCAGATTGCTTGTATTAGTCGTTATTGGAGCATAAAACCTATTCAATCAACTTGTAATATTGGTGAGTGTAATATAGTTTATTTTTAACATTTATTATTTTGACACTATTCACTTTATAGTATTTTACAAATACTGTAGTTGAATAATTGAAATAATCTTTTCAAGTTGATAGTTTGTTTTGTTTTTTTGCTTTAGTTTTTGATCATCTCTAATCTAACTTTCATTCTTACAAGTCATATTTAATAATCTTTCTAAAAATTAGACATTCACTTATATAGAAATGGTCGATCCTTCTAAAATGTCATATGTCTATTGTGTGTACATGTAGTCGATTAAAAATGCGGTAAAGTGGTTGTAGTTTTGATAGACTTCTAATCAGTTTTAATTATAAAAAACTTTGTTGAGCGATTTAAAACATAAACTTCTTTGGAGTTTTAGCTTATTTACTGAGTTTACTAATCGGTACACCATCTAAAAATCAATTTGCTAACTTAGTAATATATTGTAGTGTCGGTTGACATGTTAAGCCCATATATCTTATTCTCGTTTTCAGACAAGTCAATCTATTCATTCTAGTTGAGTCACATTCCAACCTTGTTATTTATTCGCTTACCCATCTTGACTGTTTTTATATGAGCGCTTAGATGTGTGTACATTCCTTACTGTATTCATCACATGTCTGTAACTTACTTTTGTGTGACTAAATATTGATTAACGCTCGACCAAATAGAGTTGGCTTACCCACCATCTCCACTGTGTGTCGTTTCGCTTCTCTCGATTCTATTCGCTGCATATACAAAATATATGTACTCAAAAGTCCATTCTCGTTATTTGACTTATTTAATTCCGTTATTGATCAACGCCACTAATGTCGATGATTATATACCAGGATAGGCGACATATATATTTCAATAACAACTATTCATACTACCTACCTGGAATCAGATCCCGGACCACTAAAATATCACCGGTTCATGAAGTCATAAACCAAATTCTAATCCTTTCAAGTTTGTTTAACAAAAAGCGTAACTGGTCATTGGGTAATATTAGATAATGCCATTTAAATTAATGCAATCACTCTTCCATCAGATCTAGATGTTTTGCTCTATCTATCTATCTTTGAAAAAAAAAGTATCTCTATTTTCTGATCCTTCGTGAATGTGATTTCCAGTTTTATTTAATTTACCGCTCAAACAAAAGACAATTACAATTAAACATGTTATTCAATTTTTACCATTTAACTGTCCATATAAATTCGTTTGTCTAACGGAGATATTAACATTGTTCTGTTTAATCATACAACTGATTTTAAATTGAATAAAAGCGTTGAATTTGATAAGACTTTCAATCATTTCTACCTTGTTGTTGTTCACTACACAATCACAAATACAAGTTACAGTATCGATTGTCTTATGTATAGATCATCATCTACTCAGAAATTGTTGTTTCTTTGTTTTCACTAGTTGGTTGTGTACTTTTTTTTCCTTAAAATGTTTACATTTATTGATTTAAACTTAATGACTTTTGTTTCACTCAATTTCTTATTCACATAAAGTTGACTTATGACATTATGAAAAGATGAAATCAATAAAAACAAATGCACGTTTTACCATCTCTTCACTCTACATTTTTATAGTTACACTTTAAGTATTTTTGTTATATCTTGGATGTTGATTTCTTGATATACCGCATATAACAGAGCACTAGAACACTGAAACTTTTCCAAGTCGCAATAAGAAGACAGAAGACTGATGAGAGAAATATTATTCCAAACAGTGTCAATCGTAGTATTTATAGTTTTTAGTAAGAACGAAATCATCATTACAGTCCTCCAATCCGCATACAGGGGCTTATTAGCATTATGCGATCGGGAAGCTACATGTAGGAATTCTAGAATATTCTTCCGAAAGGTGACTGGATGGAACGTCTTCGTCTCCTTCTGAGCCTCTTACAGCTTCCTCGAGTTCACTGGTGGTCCGTCGTCACAATTTTATACGAATTCAATCATGAATTTATTGAATTAAACGAGAATAACAAAAAGAAAAATAATATCAAATCACATGTATCTCTCATGTTATTTTATTTTTGATCAACTTAAATGTTTGTTTTTTTCATGATAACTCTTCATTTCTTCAACTTAGATACTGTTCCTAGTATACATGTAGGAGAAATTATCACCCTTTATTTCAAAGCTATTCCAATCAAAAACAATCTAGATATAGGACAAAACCAAAACCAACAAACTGAAAAGACTAATGCCACTTTAAAGGAGGGGAAGAAATTTCTTTCTGTAATTCATTTCAGTCATCATCATTATTGTCAATCAAATAATACTGATAATACTGATAGTAATCATTCAGTTGTATCAGATATGAGAAATATTATACAAAATTCAGATTTACCACAATCATTGATCAACATATGTAACGATGATGACATGATGAGGTTATCGTCAACTCATTTAGAATTTTTTTGTCGATCTGGAATAAATTGGCATCATCACTCTGTAAGTATTTATAACCTTTTTAATTTCTATATTTAATTTTAAGTGACATCAATGTAAAATAATAAAGTGGTTGTATTTTGAAATTTTTTCCTGTTTTCTTAATGTATTTAGTAAAAGGTTGTAGAATATTCACCCAAATTCTGTTACTGACTAAAATATAATGACCACATTAGATGTCGCGAAGGGCTGTTCTTAGAAAAAAAAAACATTCGTCCAGGCATGTGTTCCATTCAGTCAGCTTTTTGGAATAATGTCACATGTCGAGGATAACATTGTATCGTTTTAAACGACCAGTACCGGGTTTGAGTCTCACAGTAAATTTTAACGACAGAATGCAGATACATCCTCAACTGATGGTTTTTAAGTATTTTAAAACTCACTCCATATAATTCACCCGTAGATACTGTCCGGATCATAATCAATCGGCATTCAGTAGTTTACATGGATGTAAATGGTATTCTTTAATAACTTTATTTTTATTGTATCCTAGTTGACTGTTTTTAAATTTGTTTGACTTACTATTGTCAGTATTTATGAGCCACATTCATAGAGATTCTAACGTGACCACTTGTTAATCAGTTGTTTTAGACCTGAATAAACTTACCTTGAATGCGTTCCCAGCGAAGATTTTATGCTGTTACCAACCTGATGACTCTTCATTCATTTGTTTTTTCCAAAAAATTCAATTATTTTTAAACTAGATACATTGCCCGTTGTATATTTAATCGAATTATAATCTACATTAACTCTGATGATAGTTATTATTGTGTTTATCACAAGATATTTATTGTCTGTAATTGTTGTGGTTCTTTATGTTCATTAATAATCAAGGATAAATAAGAATTAAGTCAGTATGTTACATAGATCTAGTTAGTTTAACTAACTCACTTCTAAAACATGGTATTTTGAAGTGTTTTTAAATTTACATAATTTCTAAGATTTAACCCAACAACAATTTAATCAGCTTGAGATTTGCAGTTCATAAATTGACTCCGATGTTAAACTGTGTGTATTACGAAATATATTTTGAATGTGGACAAAATAAATTCTCGAATACTTGGAGTTCTGTAAGTGTATAAAAACAAAACATTTTGAATCCTAATGACAATTTCAGGAGTAAATAAGGTTTCGTTGTAGTACAAAAGTCAGATGTACTTGTAGTTTATACTGAATAATGTAATATTTTCAACAACAACAACAACAACAACAACAAAAAGAAACATATCATATGCTTCATTCAGATGATATAAAGTACTGATTTTATTATCAGACTATAAAAATAAAATAATGATAATTGGTTTCTACCAATCATCAAATAGTTTCAAGTTATGATTATAAACTAATTGATGTTAATGCTCTTTTTTTACTTGTAAATATTATTTCTAAACAATCATTAAACTAATAGAATTATAAAGCTCTTAGAAATCTCGAAGTTTTTCATATTTCTAGTTATATTGTTTTAATATCAGGGAGGAAAGATCATTATCATACTAAATCAAAATGAATAGATTTCAGTGTTTTATCGAGAAACAAACTGGTTACATTCGGATAATTGTAAACTGAAGATCTTCAAATATATGAAGTTTATCATTAAGTTTTTTTTTAGAAATTCCGTCGTTCAGCTCAGTAACGGATATAGAATTGTAGAAATACTGACTCATGAAGCTGCTTTTTATCTTCTCATTGAGTTGCTCTTGCTACTAAGACAAACAAACGAAAGAGGTGCTTGGAGATGAATGGTCGCTAATCTATATTCCAATTATGTTAATAATTTAAACGTGACTATCATGTCTTTTATTATTTATCTTATGTACGAGTCATTACAATGAAGTATTTTGATTGTTTTGTTTTCAGAATGATGATTCAATTAAATCTTCTGACGACAGTTTATCCTTGGATATTAATCTTCTTATAACATGGAAGGTATACAGAATGGTTAATAATATTTTTTTTACTGCCACTATTATTCTTACTACTTAGAAGATATATATATATATCGCTGTATATTAGAGTAGAGCCTGATGATAATCTAATCGAAAACAATGTTGTCCGATTATATGTTATTATTTGCAATATCGGGATTTCTGGTATGTGTGTGTGTGTGTTTATATTAATTTGTTGTCTAGGTAGAGGTATTAGTTTGTAATTTCGAATACTATTCATTGAGAACATTGACCATATTTCTCAAAAATTTCTGTTTTCTTAAAACTGTTTGTTTTTATTCTGTATTCTTGTGTAGGGTTCAACAGAAACTACACTAACTAATCTTCAGCAATCTATTTGGGGGCAAAGTCATTTAGGAATTAATCATCTAAATTATCCAGTACGAATGCCATATAACTATGACAATAATTATGTAAGATTTCGTTCTCAATAATGTTACTTTTGTTTGTTATGGGTCAACATTCTTGAAAATTTCTTCCTGATGTTTATGTCAATAATCTGTAGTAAAAGAGACGATATAATTACAACAGTTGATATTATATGTATGATGGTGTACGGTTTTTGCACATTTATTTGTTGTTACATAATTTTTATTGTTTTTAAACCAATGATTCCTTTCTCAAGCAGTTAGAGATTGTTTGATATTTCACTCTATCAGGTTTCTTTATGATATTGGGCACTTATATGTATATGCACTCAACATTCAGCTTCAAATATTATATTAGCACCTAAAATCGTGCACTTTAACAGTTGAAGTGTCCCTTGAACTTAAAACGTTAGCCAGATTTATCTGAACTATATACATTCACATCATTCGTATCCAAACACTTAATGACTGTTCTAACATTTTTTTGTTCAGATTGCTATGCTAGACGGTCTTTTTAAGGTATCATGTAATATTTCGGTTGTTCATTGTAAACTCGTAGGTTTGCGTTTTTATAAATTTGACAGTTTCAAGAAACTAAATCCAAGGTGCTTAGCTAAATATATCATTAGTACGAATTACTATATTCCCCTATTATTATAATAGTTATTATTGATTAATCATTGTTGTTGGACTGTGTCGGGTTTTTGGTGTGGAATTATATTTACATTCTAGTCAGGCTAATCACATGTTCTTGATCTGAGTTGTGTTGAAGTCCTGTAGAATAGACACCGGGAAGGAACCTAGTGTAGATAATCGTCTAAGGTAAATTAACGTGCCATACGTGTAAACGTGAAAAACCCAACCGTTACAACAGTTTCAATCATAAGTGTTAAATAAGCCTTGTTCAACCGTGAAATATACGAATACACTGTAGAGTACATTAAATATTTTACGTTTATTATCTTGAAGTCGTAGTTAAGTAATTGTAATAAGGATTAAGAAGATCAATTGATTATTTTCAATTTTACTTTATCTAATTTAGTTTGAATAGCAGAATAATAAAGTTTATAATCAGATGATTGTAGATAACTAAATCACTAACCTAATTAGATAATTTTTTTTAAACTAAAATAGGTATAGGAATAATGATTAGTCTCGATAATCTTTAGAGCATTATTATGTTCACAGTAATTCTCGACAAAAATAGTTTGTCATTTTATCGATAACTATTATTATTGTAATGAATACCATTAGTAGTATCAATTATATTGAAATTATATCAAATATAACTGTAAACTATTTGATTCTTACTAGTAAAATTCAAACAATTGAATATGTAATTTTTAATAATTGAGATCATGAATCAATTGAAGCTAGATCACCATAGCAAACCTGGAAGCACTAAATGGCCGTTTTGTTCTAGTATGGGACTGCTCAGCAGTGCGCATCCACGATCCCGTCTCGCTAGATTCCAACCTAGAACCTGTCGGTCTCGCTCACCAACTCTTAACATCTAGACCACTGAGCTGGCCGGCATCCGATACTGTTAATGTTAAGTTTTTAAATTAATCTAATGATGTTCATTCATTATAAAATATATTCTGTGATCAATTGTTTATTATTATTATTATTATTCTTTAAATGATTACTTTACAGGATACATTGGATTTACAATCATCTAGAAGAAGATTTAAAAAGCGTAAACATAAAATCATAAATAAGACAAATTCTACAAAAATAGTTGATTTCAACGAATTTGATTTATCCAATTTAATGAGATTTCAATTAAATTATCCAAAACTTGTAAATGAATATTCCCAGAAGAACAATAATATTTCTGATGATCATAATCAACACAATCATAATCAGAATATAAATTATACTACTTGTTCATTTGAAGATTTCTTTAAATATTTTTATAATTCACCATTCAATCTTCTTAATAATAATCGATTAATATGTGAACAATTGAAAAAATTGTAAGTACATATTTGTCATTCTAAGAATCTCATTGTTAATTATGTCATGATTTATATAATCCAAATTACAAGAATATAAAACATTTCACTATTTTATATAAATTGTACAATTTAGTACTTGGGTACCAAGCCCTGCTACGACCGAAAGTGGGGAGAGTTAGCTGTCCCCCTCCAAATACTCTCACATGGCCATGTGCATATAACCACTACCAGGAAAGTCCTACTCGCTACCTTCTCGTGACATTATTGTTGTTTACCAAACTGAGTGGACGAAAAGCGTATGAACCAATCGTTGGTCAACGGCTACCATGGGACTGCATCTCCTCACGATG